TTCTCTGCGGGATTCTACAAGATACTCCAGGAAGAAATTATGAACACCCTTAAGGAAGTAATGAATAAAGTACTCCAGGAAGGAGTCATTCCGGAGTCATGGAAAACTGCGGAAATTACCCTAATCCACAAGGAGGGAGCGGAGATAGACGATCTTAGGAGCTATCGCCCTATCTCCCTGCTAAATAATGACTATAAAATTTTTACTACCATCATGGCCAATAGATTTAAGACCTTCCTAACAAATTGGATAGGAGAGGACCAAAATGGCTTTTTACCTAATAGAACCATCAAGGAGAATGTAAGATCAATCCTCGATACAATCGAATATTACGAAACCCATCACCAGAAAGAAGTAGCATTGCTAGCCATTGACGCTGAGAAAGCGTTTGATAATATTCGATGGGACTTCTTTAAAAGGTTGTTCCAAGAAATGGACTTTGGGTTTCAATTTAGAAACGCTATCGAGGCTGTATATAGAGACCAGAAAGCCAAACTAATTATAAACGGAATGGCATCAGAGGACTTCCCTATCCAAAAAGGCACTAGACAGGGCTGTCCTTTATCCCCCCTAATTTTCATCTTCGCCTTAGAAGTTCTACTTAAAGAAATAAGGGAAGACTCAGCGTTAAGGGGACTGAAAATAGATAAACAGGAGCTAAAACTCAGAGCGTTTGCAGACGATATCATATGTGTGGTAGAGAACCCAAGGGAAACATTACAACTATGGCTGGACAAAATTGAACACTATGGGGTGGTCGCGGGGCTCAAAATAAACAGAAGGAAAACTATGTTACTAACTAAAAATATCTCAAAAACTAATCAGAAAAAACTAGAGGATCTATCAGGAATTAAAATAGTAAAAAAAATCAAGTATCTAGGAATTTGGGTCACACAGAGAAACCTAAACTTGCTAGAAAATAACTATATGGAGAAATGGAAGGAAATCAAAAAGGAMTTGGACACATGGAAGAAATTAAATCTATCATTATTAGGGAGAATAGCAACCATAAAAATGAATATTCTCCCTAAACTGCTTTACATCTTCCAGAACCTCCCTATCGTGAGAAACTTTAGGATCTTTAAAGACTGGAACAAAGAGATTACAAAATTTATTTGGAAAAACAAAAGRCCCAGAATCAAGTACACCATAATGACAATGCCAACCCATAAAGGAGGTTTTGGCCTCCCGAATTTACAAGCATATTACGAGGCCAGTGCGCTACTGTGGATCCTCGATTGGACCAAATTGCAAAATATCAAGATCTTAACCATTGAAGGATTTGACCTCCGAAAAGGTTGGCATGAATACCTATGGTATGGTGGGACTAAAAAAGAAGGGAATTTTGGGAATCACTTTGTAAGGTCTGCCCTTATTAAGGTTTGGGAAAGGCATAAAAAATTTTTCTTCCAAAAAACTCCTCTATGGATCTCCCCACTTGAGGCAAAACATCGCAGACTCTTGGGCTGGGTATCCTGGCCCTCCTATAGGGACATTCTTTGTAAGAACAATGGCGCCTGGGAGCTTAAAACACAAAAAGAAATATCCCAAAAATTTAAAAACATCTCGTGGCTGCAATACGCCCAAATTAAGGAAAGTTATAAAGAGGACAGGAAGCTAGGCTTCGGAGAAGAAACGGATTTATGGGATAAGATCCAGAAAAAAGGTAAAAAAGTTATAACCCACATATACCAAACACTGCTGGGGTGGGCAACAGAAACGGAGATTATTAAAAATACAATGATTCTCTGGGCAAGAAACATAGGAAGAACCATCCAGTTAAAAGAATGGGAGATTATATGGAAGAAAAGGCTCAAATACACCTATGCCTCGGACTTAAAAGAGAACTGGTTGAAAATGCTACACCGGTGGTATCTGACCCCCCAAAAGATATCGAGAATGTATAAAAACGCTGACAACAAATGTTGGAAGTGTAAAATTAACGAGGGGTCCTTTTACCACCTATGGTGGCAATGCCCAAAGACTAGAGAGTTCTGGAAGAGCATCCACATCGAATGTAGGAAAATCCTTAAGCTAAACTATCCATTGTGTCCAGAAATCTATTTACTAGGAATATACGATAACTCCGTTTTCCCAGATACTAATTTAGAAAAGCTGTTTACTTTCTTAGCTACCGCGGCCAGGATGTCGTTCGCCAGCGTATGGAAGCAAGATAAGATACCTTCCATCATGCAATGGCGAGACAAAGTCCTGGACATTCAGGAAATGGATGAATTAACGTTCTGGCTAAGACAGAATAATGGAAGCGGACTGACGCCGACCGACTGGAGCTTGTTCAAGTCTTATATGGAAAAAGAAATAGAGTAATAGGAAATTATTTATGCTTAAAATATGGAGGATGATATAGTTGTAGTAGAAATACAGTATTATGAATTGATATGGAAATGAATGGAAATGAGGGGAAGTCGGTTTTAACCTTATAGGGGGGAGAGGGTAGGAGAGGGGAAGGGGGGGAGGGGGGATTACTGGGGTCACTGTTGATAGGTATTAGTATAATATATTCACTTGGTCTTTCGCAGTCTGTACCTCATGTTTAAATGTTGTATATTTGTTTGTATGTGATACATCTCTTGTCTGCTTTCTCTACGTATTGTATCATATGTCTTACTTGTCTCTCTTTTATATGATAAACTCAATAAAAATTAAAAAAAAAAAAAAAGAATGAGAACAAATTGTGTTCTTCCTCAAATTAGGGCCACAGTGTTGTGCTTTTCTTTCAATTACGGTCTGTTGGTTTTTGTATCTCCTGTAGAAAAGATTTTGCCTTCTTGCAATTATCTACCTCTCCAAGCCTGTCTTGAGCAACAGAATAATTGTAACAAGATAGAGGAATATGTTGAAGAATTGGACATGGAAAGAATTTGTTAAAGCAACACCTTGGCTCATGAGACAATAGGAAAAACTAATGCTCCAGTACATACTCAGTGGAACTGAAAATATATTCAGCTTGGTTCTGAAGAATAAACCCTTCCTAGGCACTAGTGTAATCTGTGGGTAGCCTCCTTACTGCTATCCAAGAAAGAAAAATCCACCATTGAAAAAAGAGAGTACAGGTTTTTGCAAAAAAGTATTGATTTATATTGATATGTATTATAACTGTACATTTTCCAAAATATGTGGTCAACACTTTGGTATCTCCTGGGGGCTTGGTTCCAGGACCTTCCTGTGGATACCAAAAGTATGGATGCTCAAGTCCCATTATGAACAATGGCGTAAAATGGTGTCCCTTATATTAAATGGCAAAATCAAGGTTTGCTTTTGTTTTTTTTTAAACAAATATTTTCAAGCAGTGAGTGGTTGAATCTGTGGATATGGAGGGCCGACTTGACTCTTTACCCAGAGTTTCAGATTAGTTTGAAAAAGGGGGCAATGAAATAATTATAGTTGACTTCTTAAACATTTTATAGTAGAAATCCAACATCTTTTCCTCTAATTGTTTGTTGATTTGTAACATCCTGCAATGTATTAGTAGATTCCATTGATAATATGTTATTGTGCATTTAAATTACTCAAATGTTAAGCATACCATGTTTGTGTGTGACAACATAACTTTAAAAAACTAAAAAACATCTTATTTCTATGTATTACTGTACAGCCTTATCAAAATGTTTTGTGGAAAGAATATTATGTATTTCTTGACAGGCACCAGTGCTCATAAAAACAAGATTTTTGCTTGTGTCCCCTTTGTGTTTCCCCTCTAGACAGCACACATGTTCTAATTACGCATGCTGAGAGACACAGGCAGGCTAGAATATTGGTGAACTTTCCCTCAACAGCTGTCTGCCAAGCTTTCTCAGTGTTCAGCAGCAGGTTGAGTGGTCTAATGTGAGAAAGTAACAAGCCCCCAAAGGAAATGTCCTCTTCACAGTGAGCAGTCACATCTTCATATCATTTAAGATCACCCCTCCATATCCTGGTCTTACCAGACTTGGGAATAACTTTCCATCTAATTCTCATTCTGTACTTTTTGGCAGATAGAATGAGTAGTAGTAACAAAAAGGTAGATAGAATAGAGTAGCAACAAAAAAGTAGGGGGAATATTGAGCAAAGGATGTTAGAATGTATTCTTTGAATGTTTTGTGTCATATATTGCATACAGAAAGCTGCATACTTTGTATGTTAGCTTTGGAAACAAAAACCCTTAAAATTATATTCTGTTTTTCAAATGTAATATCTGAAACTGAAACGAGAAATTTGATGGTAGGTTACATTTTTGAGAACCAGTATTGCCTGGATATATGAGGGAGCAGGATATACATGTGGACGATCCTTAAATGGGCTAATGAGCTATTGTATTTCAGCCTTCCTGGTCCTCTTAGTTCAGATCACTATGGTACATCGGTAAATAACTTGGGGGGGATTCACCTGTCCTCCTTTTGTTTTACCTATCCTTTTTGCTTTTCCCATAATACTTCTTTTTCCATAGTATTACCATATGATGGAAACTGTTTAACAAACTATAAGAAATGTTAGGAAATAGTAGCTCAGCCTGAACACAGATAACACACTCTTGAAAGGAAAGAGAACCCAGGCGCACTGTTTGGATTGAAAGTTCTGTAAATATGGATAAGAAGTTCCATAGGTCTCTAGGTCCCGCACGTACGCATTTCAGGAAGTGAATTAAAATCCAGATTTTAGTTTTTAAGGTACCACAAAACATATTCTTTCGTTTTATCCTCTGTTGTAGGACCCCCTCCCCATATGTACTAGATTGCTAATTTACAGACAATTTCCCTTTGTCGTTTACTCATCTGGAGCATTTACTACACAACTCATTTCAGTAGATAAGTCCAAAACAACAATACTATTATAAAATTTGAGGGTTACACCATTTGCAAAACATTGGGTAATATACAAATTATTAATAATAAATAACAAATATATTAGTTTGTCAGGAATTTCTACTCAGGTTTGCTATGTAGAGCTTTTCAAATTAAATATTTTTATTCTTAATATTTTTATTTTTGTTTTCTCAGCAGGAAGCAGCCCTCAAGACAGTCCCAGAAACTTCTCTCCTAGTGCCTCGGCTCATTTTTCTTTTGCACGAAGGTAGGAGGGTGTGTTCAATGTGCCATAATTAAAACATATGAATATCATACTGTATTCATATATTTTAATAACAATGCTTGGAAGAGTCATAAGCAGTAGATTTTATTAAAATATAATCAAGGTTTTGTTGATCTTTGAAACATTTTTTTTCAATTTTTACTGTAACAAAAGATCAATATAAGTAATGATATTCTGTAGGAAACCTGTTTGCCTCCTTTATCGTCAGTGAAGGCTCTTTATTTTTAAAACAGCAGGAAAGTGAGTGTACAAACATGCAGAAGTTTGTGAACTGGGGTTTCAGAATTATACTAGTGAATGTATTTGACACCTATTAAAATTCTAATATATCTCACTCATTAAATTTGATGATGGTATATTGAGAGGATTTTGTCGCATATTGTATTCTTTTTCATACTGAAGAGGCTATCTACTTCTGTGAGTCCTTTTGAGAGAGCCAACCTGGGTGGAGCACAGTAGCTATGGGAGCAGGTCAGAAGAGGCTGTCACTGCCATGCCATTCTGTAGCACCTTCAATGAAGTTTTGAGGCAAAATAATGAGTCACCAAAAGGAAGGTTGCTTTCAATAGAATGATGAACAAAACAAGCCTAAAAGATAGAAAGGAAAGGAAAGCCAGTATTTCAAAATGAGTTTCTACCTGATGAGACAAAGTGCTAAACAGGTTGGGACATTAAAGCAACAACACTTAAATTTCTGAAAGGACAACTAGGGCAGAGAAACATCCTAGGGAATAATCATTGATTAAAGAGATCTTACAGTTATCTGAAATATCTGGACAATCAGAAACATGTGTCTGCATTTACCTATGAATTCAATAACAGGCACTGTTCTGCATTCAGAGAGAACAAAAACTATATTCTTGAGCAAAGTGAATGTTTTAAATTTTTGTTTTCGAAGTACAGTATACAGAAATACCCAGTCTGACACGTGAGCTATGTTAAGATGTTAATTCCTTCTCTTTGCTTCTGTATGTAGAGATAATGAGAATAGGCTTGCGATGCTTTCCCTCGACTCTTCTAAGCAGAGTGCAAGATAATATTATAGCTGGAATGTTGAGCATTAGAACTGCTTTAGATTGGATATTGATCCTACTTTCGCTGTTAGTTAAAGTAGCAATATTAAGCACAGTCTCATGTCCAAATGATCACAAGGGCTTTCTGTCTATGATCCTTGCTAACTGTGGTCAAGAGAAATTAAAAAGCCAAAGAAGTCTGAACATCTATGCGAAGAACTATTAAGAAGGGTCATAGAGAAGTCACAAAAATTAATGTCTCAACAGACTGTTACATTTTCCTATTAGGTTTATTTGAAAATCCAAAGAAATCTGTCATACAATTAGTGTAAGAGTTAAATCCAAATTTAATCATGCTTGAAGCAGACCCACACTAAATTATGATTTGGAAGTTCCATTGATTTTAGTGTGACTCATTACTGTGAATAATTCTGAGTCTTCACTCACATTTATATACAGTCCCCAAGTTACAAACATCTGACTGACAAATGACTCATAGTTAAGAACAGGGGTGAAAAAAAACAAGAAGTGAGATAAATCTACTTTTAGGAAGGGAAATTCACTCCTGAAAGAGTTATCATGGGGAAAAGGTGTCTCCACTTAAGCTTTTGGACCCAAAAAAACCCTGGTTTTGTTGTTTCTACAACAAACCATTTTTTTCAAAATCCACTTACCACAGGGACAGAAAGTGAAGTGAAATCTTCTGAACAGAGGTACTTTGTGCTTTTCCTGGATGGCAGGGGGTTGGCCCATGTGGATTCTTCCAACTCTATTATACTATCATTCTAGGGCAGTGGTTCTCAACCTGTGGATCCCCAGATGTAACGGCTGCTAAACTGGCTGGGATTTCTGGGAGTTGTAGGCAAAAGCACCTGGGGACCCACAGGTTGAGAACCACTGGTCTAGAGGCACAGACTGCAAAACAAACACCACAGGGCTGTTAACCCTTCCCTATGCTATCCAAAGCACATGTGCGCACAGATATAGATAGAGAGATAGAGATATATATGGCTGGCTGGCTGGCTGGCTTGCTGGAGTTACACTTTAAAATGTACCTATTCCAACTTACAAACAAATCTTGAGGACTGCCTGTACTCACATCCTCTCTTCAAATTCTGCTCCATTATTTTGTTTGCAACAACAATACTCACTTCATATTCAGAAATAATAATTTGCAGTACAGCTACAGCAAAGATCAAAAAAACGAACACTTTCCTCCTCTGTTCTGGACTGAATCAGTTCTTACGCAACATGTACTCTTTAGTAATTTGTTTTCACTGCTCAGTGAGCATGCTTGATGTGGCAGACTGCCACTCTTTCAGTACAGTGCCTGCAACTCTCAACTGCATTATTACCCTTTGACAAGTGATATTCCTGTTACTGTAGGAGGATGCTACGATAAAGATATTGGGATTTGATTCTAAGAAAAAAGTGGGTTTTGGTGCTCGAACCATAGAAAATACATACTTGCGCATGCGTGTATATATATATATATATATATATATATATATACACACACACACACACACACACACATACATACATACATACATACACATACATACATACATACATACTGTAGGTGAAAAGGGAGGCAGAGTTTTTAAAAGCAGCATCCTAACATTGAGGGCAGATTAGACCATTTATTAAACACACTGTTCTTTGCTGAAATTTTGAAATGGCAACCAAATGTTAATAAGAACAGTTCAGGGTTATTATCCCTGACGTAAGACTAGAGCATGCTTGGTACAATCACATCTTGTTTCTTTGGTGGTCTTTTCTGGAAACATAACAAGGTATATCCTGTAAAAACTGTGATTCAGTCTTTCTGGCACCATTTTGTCAGAGCCTTATTGAAGATTTCACTATCATTTCACTAGCAATGTATAAATTGTTCAGGAGGCCTCAATTGCCTGTTAAATATCAACCTTTCAGGCAGGCCTTCCCAAATTGACTGCTATTTCTAATCTTTGATTTTAAGTATTTTAATTTATCATTCACTGGTTTTCCTTGTAGTTTTCAGTAATGTTAACGTTTTCATTGCACACCATGTCAAAATATCATTAAACATGCAAACCTTTATAGAAATTAATATCGGAGGGAGAGGAGGCAGTTTGTGTGCTTATTTATTGAATGATAGGAATAGACTTGGAATGGTAGAAACATATAGAAAATCACATCATGCAATTGTGTATTTTTTGTACAACTTGTAATATTGTAAGTAAGAATTAAGTCTCTATATATTTTGATACTTTTTGAACATTATTGTACACTTATATGTATACAGTTATTGCTTCATTTGTGTTTTTTATAAAAACATGCTTGGTCTAATTACAATGCAGCCATGGGCATCGAAATGAAAGGTAACTGTTGTGATATTACATTATTCATTTCTGTGGTTTATGTATTTGATTATATATTTTATATTGGCTGACTACTGTTGCCAGCTAACTAGAAAATATTACCAATGTCTCCCATGACCTGAAAACAGTCTTGCTTAAAGAATCTGGGAGATCTGCACTTTTTATTGTTAGCCATGTGATTCATCATTGCTGTTGCTGTTGTTTGCCTTCAAGCCATTTCCAGCTTATGGCAACCCTAAGGCAATCCTATCACAAGGTTTTCTTGGCAAGATTTGTTCAGACAGGGTTTGCCTCTGCCTTCGTCTTTCCCAAGGTTACCCAGTTAGTTTCCAGGCTGAGTTGGGGTTTGGGCCCTATTTTCCAGAGTCCTACTCCTGTGTTCAAATCATTACACCATGCTAGCTAGCTCTTTTAATTCATCATTATATTTTGATTTTTTAAATGCTTCATTTGCATGTGCATGCTTGATGAAATCTGGATTCAATGAGCTCAGTTGAACTACAAAATTCAAAATGCCTGTCATCAACCTTGGGAAACAGCACAAGGAAGCAGCCATGGGAAGGGAGTGCCTTTACTGCAGCACTTGCTTGTACCCTTTCATAAGAGAAAATGTCATGAGCAGATTCAGACTTGAAGATGGCAGGTACCTGTTAATCACAAGTAAGGAATGCAAGTGGAGCAGGGTGGCATCAATCAGGCACATCACTTTCAATTTGTCCCCTGCAGTACTGCCATGGCATGTAAACCTGCTTTTGACTACTTTTCCTCTGCAACAGACATGAGCAAACCCAGGACTCCAGGCCAGATGCAGATGTCCTGGGCTCTGAGTGTCACACTCTCCTCTCGGCAGGCCCTTCCAGTCACACGCGGCTGTGCAGAACTCTCCTGAGAGCTAATGCGCAGCCATGTGCCACACCCTCCCAAGAGCTCTGTGCAGCCATGTATCAAGTCCTCCTCTTCTTCCTGCCAAGATGAGGACCCTGCAGGCACATGTGGCTGCCCTTCCCCCTTGTGCCAACTGACCCCTAGCCTCCCACCCCCATTCCAACTGTCCTCAGCCTCCCCTCCCCTGGGCCTGGCATGCGGCTTCCTTTCTAAAAAGTTTGCCCATTCATTCTCATTGCACTGAATGCCTATTTAGAATGAATCTATCATTACAACTAGTCCAAGTAGAAACTATAGCTGTTCCAGTTCCTGTATTTGTGTCTTTCATTGAATTTAGCCAGATTTGTATGTGAGAGGAGTCTGGTGGCACAGTGGGTTAAACCACTAAGCTCCTGAAATTGCTAACCGAAAGGTCGCAGGTTCTAATCTGAGGAGTGGTGTGAGCTCCCGCTGTTAGCCCCAGCTTCTGCCAATGTAGCAGTTTGAAAACATGGAAATGTGAGTAGGTCAATAGGTACTGCTCCGGCGGGAAGGTAACAGTGCTCTATGCAGTCATTCCGGGCACATGACCTTGGATGCATATCTTCAGCTTAGAAATTGAGATTAGCACCAACCCCCACAGTTGGACACGAGTGGACATACTGTTAGGGAAAAACCTTTACCTTTACCTTGTATGTGAGGGAGTAGCACACACAGGGAGAGAATAGGCATATGGATTACTGTGAATGTATCTCCAGCATGCTTTTTTTCTTGCAAAGTTTGTGAATGTTTATGTTCTTCTTACATAATCCTTAGTTTATCACCCATACGAAGCAGGGGCATGGCTTGATTTGGAATCTATGGTTTGTCAGTGATTTGCTTTGCATGTTGACTATCCTCCTCCCCCCCCCCCCTTTTTTTGTCTGTACTGTTATTCTAGTCTGGTAAGTTATAGACTATGAGAGCCTGCAGTCAATCATGCGTGGGTGGTTTTACTTGTTGGCAAGGGAATTGTGAGCACTAGCAACAGATAAACATGTTAGGTGAACAAACTATTCAGGTCCAGTCTAGCTATAAAAAAGGAGTTGGCAAGAATTTGTCTGAATGTTGGTTCTGTATAGCAGAGCTTAAAAATCTCCCACACTTTTCCCTTCAACTAAAATATATTACCAAAATATTTCTACATGTTAAATGTCTATAAGCCAGGGTGCATTTTAAGTATTGCCCTATATATATTGCATTTAGTAGGCCATCAAGGTTGTACATCAGTTTTCATTGGCTGTTCAGTGTTATAATTTCTCTCATTCAGAGTCAGATTGTTTTTTATTTTGAATAAACATTTATTTAATTTTTTTCTTATTAATATTTTATTACTTTATTTTAATCATTTTCCTTTACTAAATATTACATAATAGCCTATATCATGAATATTTTATTATTTTAAATAAGTGCTTGTATAAAATGTGCTTGTGAGTTGGTTTTAATCCATGATTTTCATTTTTGATAATAATTTTGAAATTGTCATACTTATCGAAATCTCAAATTTCAAACAGGACGGATGGACGACGTTGGTCACTGGCATCTCTCCCCTCCTCTGGTTATGGTACAAATACTCCCAGTTCAACAGTTTCAGTAAGTGGCTGTAAAGAAATCACTCATTATATTGGACTCTGAGGTTCCATTAGCCCTTATATGTTTTTTTACTTGGACTTCTGCCATAATTTATGGGTTAAAAATAAATTTTCCACGCACTCTGCCTGTAGGCTTTTAATAGTACTGAAGTTTAGACTATAATTCTGAATATAATATTGGTTGAAAGTGCAAGGAACAGCTTTGTGAGCAGTACTCCATACTTGTACATGTGTGCAGTCTGAGAAGTAATAGTAGTATGACTTAATGGTGAATTAATTCACTAGAAGATAATAACGCCCATGAGTAGAGATCTTATCATATACTCTGATAAGATTTTCAGCAAGCACTTAAATTTTTCCTCAGTAATCCCAAGTACTTGCTGAAAATCTTATCATATAATCTTATCATATATTATAGGTATCCTTATATAAATATTCAGGATAACTATAATATAAATGAAAGAGTCTTCATGAGTATGTTCTGCATCTGTGCATATACAGATAAAATAAAAGATATTTGTGCAATATTTTGACTTTTTAGACATCCAAAGTTACAATTTAGGCTCATACATATGCCCTTGTATGAGCTTACTAAAACTTTAAGATTATCTGGGGAGGCTCTGCTCTTTGCAAGTGTGATTGGTGGGGACGAGAGACAGAGCTTTCTCAGTGGTGGCCCCTCGGCCGTGGAACTCCCCAGTGACATCAGGCAGGCCTCATCCCTTCTAGTTTTTAGAAAAAAGTTAAAGACATGGTTTTGCTTGCAAGCATTCAAAAACTAAGTGACTACAGGCCTCAACACGGTTTGAATATGGATTATGAACAAGAATCTTGTACAAATGGAACTACATACTTTATATGGTTTAATCTGTTTACTGTTTTAATGTGTTTATTGACTGGTTATTAACCATTTTAATAGGGGGTATGTTATTGTTTTTACTGTTGATTTTACCAGCATTTAATTGTACTAGAATTCTAAGCTGCCTTAAGTATCCTTAGGAGGAGAAAGGCGGGGTATAAATGAAGTAAATAAATACATAGATTTATTTATTTTCTGTGTTCTGAAAGCTTAAAGACAAGGAAGGCATTCTAATCAGTGGAAATGTTTCAGGTAGTTCCAAGCTGTGTCAGAAATTAATGTTCCATCTGTTTGTTGCAGTCATCCTGTTCTTCCCAAGAGAAGTTACACCAGTTACCATATCAACCAACACCTGATGAACTACATTTTTTATCTAAACATTTCTGCACAACTGAAAGCATTGCCAGTGATAATAGGTGTAGGACCACTCAAATGCGGCCACGATCGAGAAGCCTCAGGTGGGTTAGTCTGTCTGGAAGCAGACGTTGTATATGAATGTAAGTCATCTGTGGGAAATTGGGACTTTTACAGGCACATCTCAACATAGCATTGTTATGCTTCAGTGCAAGAAGTAGTAGTAGTGATTTTGTCTTAATGTGGCTATTTAAAATTCACATTTCCATCTGAGAATTCTTCCATTAATCCTAAACACAGTTGTGTTTCTATCATATCCTTTACAATTAGATTTATAATTTCTGGTTCAGTAGTTCCCAAATTTAATGTTTTTCAAATTTTGGATGCATCAGTAGAAAAGCTTTCCCTATTTTTAAAATCTGATGTGTGGCAGATAAATGATTCAAAATTCTTAAATTTACAACAGTCTTATGTTTACAGAAATTTCAATTTAGTGAAAGTTTTTTCTTCATTCATACTTTGATATTGCATTTTTAACAAACGTTGTATTCATGATCTATAAGCTTGGTTCATTACCTGGAATTTGCAGGATAACTGCCTTGTATAATACTACAGTGAGTTGCATTGTTAGCCTTATTCTGACTTGTGCAGACTAGGCAGACATATAAGTCGAACTCATTACAGTATTATACGGAGCTTAAAAAAAAATTAAACAAGTGATCACTAAGATAGAATTGAACTAGTCACAATATTAAAGCCAAATATGTAGTTAAAAGAATAACATGCAATTAAAAGATTAAAAAGCTTTTAAGAACACCACAGTTTACAACAATACACCACCCCCTAGCCCATTCTTTTAAAACTCTGTTGACTAAGGACAACAAGAAGGTGGCCGTCCTGGCTCTCCAGGCATGAAGTCCCACCATCTAGTGACAGCCATTAAGATGGCCCTCTTTTATGTCAGACCAACTGTGCTTGAGAGCAGGTGCATACAAAAAGATGTGGTTTTTCCAAACTGGCAAACAGTAGAGCTGTTTTAACAAGGAAATACTGTAGTTCTCACTAAATACTCTGGCTGGAGTTCTTTGAACTAAGTGATGTTTCTGAACACTGTTCAAATGAAGCCCCACGGAACGGTCCAGGTCCAGGCTATTGGCTAACCACAGCCCCTTCTACGTATCTGTCAGGGCCCTGAGATCTTCAGGAGAGGCTCTTCTCTTGGTCCCACCTCCATCTCAAGCTTGGTTGGTGGGAATGAGAGAGGAGATCTTCTCAGTGGCTGCCCCTTGACTCTGGAACTCCCTGCCCAAGGAAGCCAGAATGGCCCCCTCCTTGCTGCTCTTCTGGCAGCAGGCTAAAACCTTTTTATTCAGGCAGGAAGGACCAGAGCCATTGTAAACACTTTCCATGTGGAATCCCAATGAGGTGGCCCAGAAGGACACTTTAGTCAATGGTAATTGAAAGTTTTTGAGAGATCTAGCAGAACCATTAGGGACACACACCAGCTGTTTAGTTCCCTGTCTAGATTATCCACCAAGATGACCAAAGCTTTTTTTTTATCCCAAAACTAGGCCTGAAACCAGACCGAAATGAATTTAGATAATCTGTTTAATCCAGGAATCTCTGAGCTGTGTCACATGTTTCAGTACCTTGCAACCTTTTCCTGCAAACTTAATCATATAGGGTCAAGTTCAGAAAACTGTTGACTGGTGATAAGGATTTATTGATGTGTTTATACTAGAACCTGTTTTCCCAGTTCATTAAAACCTTTCTGTAAACATTTTAGTTCCCACATAAATTGTTTCCTTCATTGCTCACATCAAGTGCCTAATCCATGACATCTGCAACAAAAGAACTGCCTTGCTCCATTTATTAAATGTATATGCTGTTCTTCATCTCACTTGGGAGTGTACTGAAAAACAATGAAGACCACTGAGACAGTTTAAACAGTACCACATGTTTAAAGAGATAATATGGAGACATAATTCAGTATTACTCAAGTACATAACTTGCTTAACATGATTTCCGCCCTCATGTTCTGCCCTGTCATCCCTGTTAAGTCTTTAAGGGGTCACAAGACTATTCATTAAAACACTTAGATCAATTACAAATTAGGAATGAACTGAATCCCAACTGATTTCTTTAAATTGTTCTTTTTTCAAACTTGCAAAGTGCAAGAAGAGCTTTTCTTTAGCTTCCATTGTTTTAGTCTGCTAAGTAGGAGTACACATTTTCGTTAGTAATGGAACTTTTGCACAAGAAACATGATGTCAGACTTGTCATTTTCATATCTTCATCCCCAACTAGTATTCAGGTATTCATATAGATAAATTTAATCATATCTATATGAAGTTCAAAATAACATGAATGTATACCTGGATATATTTTTATTTATTAGTAAGTTGTATGGTTTACTGGTCTGAGTGTTGGACCAGGACACTGGAGACCATGGTTCAAATTGCCACTCAGCCATGTAAACCCACTGGATGACTTTGGGCAAGTCATACTCTCTCGGGCTAAGAGGGAAGACGAAAATTTCATTTTTAAAATTAGGCAGTATTATTATTTCCATTTCTATAACTTTGTGCTGGGAGTAGTGTTCTTGTGTAGTGAAAAATCCGTGCTCCCTGTTTCAGACCACGTGGGCTCCAGAAATAATGAAGGGTTCAAGCTAAGAGTTTGAACTGAAAATACCCCAATGGCAAAAGTCACAGAGTTTAGCAAAGCCTGATCAAGACATAGTCCAATCAGAAAACAAGTAAGTCAGGAAAGGGCAGTCCAGAAGCAATCAAGTTCAAATAAAGTCCAAGTTCAGGCACAGAGCTATCAAAATATAAGACAAGGTTCCATCAAATGGGTGACAAAGTTGCCTGTGAAAGAGTATTTTTCTGACGGGACATGTCACAGCAAGCTTAAGGGATTTTCTAGTTTTTAAAAGGAAAAAAAGATAGAAAAAAATAACTGAAGAAAGGCTGCCAAAGCAGTCCAATGAGCATGGATTGTGCTTGGTAACCACAGAATAGTGGCAAACTGTTTGGGACAGGGAAAATACGAAAACCAGGTGAGAAGCAGAATAGCAAGGAGTATCACTGAGGTACAATAGATAGAAACTGTCTACACTGCAGTATTTCTTTGTCTGTTGCATTAATTATTCTGACTGTGCAGAAGACATTACATATATATTTAAAATCTTATTTTCAGTTCACTCAAGATTAGATTTGAGCATATTTTTCTTTACTTGCAGCCCTGGACGTTCTCCTGCCTGCTGTGACCATGAAATAATTATGATGAACCATGTATATAAAGAAAGATTCCCAAAGGTAATAAAGACTATTCAATGTACACTATACGCTATCTAGAATACGGATACAAAATCCATATTCTAAAACCAGTATGTTTTATTTTATTTGAAATATCAAATTCACTTTTCAAAATCAAAAATCCTTATAAAGCATCAATATTTATATTAAAACATCAATATTTCTATAAATTAGTTATTCATTCAGCTGACCCAGAGACCTTCTGTTCACTTCCCATGGTACAGTTTTTTCAGTGAGCCTAACTTTCTAGAGGATTTTTTTGGATAATGTAAAGGTAAATGTTTCCCCTGACATTAAGTCTAGTCGTCTCTGAATCTGGAGGGTGGTGCTCATTTCCATTTCTAAGCCAAAGAGCTGGCGTTGCCTCTAGACACCTCCTAGGTCATGTGGCCAGCTTGACTGCATGCAGCGCCATTACCTTCCCACAGAAGCTGTACCTATTGATCTATTCACACTTGCATGTTTTCAAACTGCTAGGTTGGCAGAAGCTGGGCCTAACAGTGGGAGCTCACTTTGCTCCCCAGATTCTGGACCTAACAGCAGGAGCTCCCCCCGCTCCCCAGATTCGAACCACCAGTGCCAACCTTTCAGTGAGCAAGTTCAGCAGCCACCAGGAGACCCAATGGGGAATGTAAACAACCTTAAAAGAAAAGAAGGTGCTGACAGACTTTTGTGTGGAAGTGAAGTGTCTAATACCATTGAACTTGCATAAACTTTATTCCTGAATATTTTCTAAACAAAAAGAGTCCTCCTTATACCTTCAAACCTGTCCCTGAAAGTCATGTATACTGATATTTTGTGGAATTGTTATCTCTGAAATGTTTTGAGTTTGAAAATAGTTGTTGTGTTATTACTAATTATTAAAAAATAATGCACACCATATAATAATAGTTCATGAGCTAAAATACAAACTTTTGACTTGCAAGGGTGTTAATTTAAAAGCATGATTTACAATATACTGATGAAACGTAATGACTTCTCTTCTATAGGCTACTGCTCAGATGGAAGAACGGCTTCAGGAGATTATTACCAGCCATTCTCCTGACAACGTCCTTCCCTTGGCAGATGGAGTGCTCAGTTTCACCCACCATCAAATCATTGAGCTGGCTCGTGATTGCTTGGATAAATCTCATCAGGGTCTCATCACTTCACGATATTTCTTTGAATTACAGCACAAATTGGATAAACTGCTGCAAGAGGTAAGAACCACATAAAGATTATTTAGAAATTGGGGAGATATATTGGATTCAGAAAATCTATTTCTGAAGATATTTATGACCATTGGCTTACAAAATAAAAACCTGAAAACAGGTAATTCCTTAAGTGGTCTTTAAGATCAGTGATCTTTGCTGCTGCTTAAGGGACCTCCATGGGTTTGTGAAGCACATGAACTTTTGGCTTATGTTATCCTAGATTGTGATTTAATAAACTCTTTCTGTGTCTCAGGTGAAATCTTTTGTTTTCCTCTCTTGCTGAAAAGTAATGCAATTTCCTGGTTTAATTTTATCTATTGATTCCTCCTAGTTTAATTTTGGCCAGTCTGTTTGCAGAAGTGAGATGCAGAACAAAAGGACCTAAAAGGACATTTAAAATGTTGTATAAGTTGCATTTTTATTATGCTGATTATCTCAAAGATGGATGCTGGCAAGGTTTTACAACACCTGCATCCTAAGATTCATCAAGCTTACGTAGTTTTTTTAAAATATACATATTATGTGTGATTTTCACTCAGGGAATAAAAAGAGATCTAAAAGGACTCCAAGGTTCTCTTTTAATGAAAAGAAAGAAAGAGAAAACCTGCTCTAGTGGCATAAACAAGCAGTGGTCACAGTTAGATTATTATGGACCTTTTTTTTTTAAAAAAAACAACAACCTGATGTTTCTGGGTAGTGACTGTCAGTTTAAAAAGGTAAAGGTTCTCTCCTGATATTAAGTCGCGTCATATCCGACTCTGGGGGGTTGGTGCTCATCTCCATTTCTAAGCCCAGGAATCGGCGTTGTCCATAGACACCTCCAAGGTCATGTGGCTGGCATGACCACATGGAGCGCTGAAGCAGTACCTATTGATCTACTCACATTTGCATGTTTTCAAACTGCTAGGTTCACAGAAGCTGGGCCTAACAGTGGGAGCTCACCCCGCTTCCTGGATTCGAAACACCGATCTTTGGTCAACAAGTTCAGCAGCTCAGTGGTTTAATCCACTGTGGTACCAGGGGGCTGTTATGCTGCGACATTTTACTTTAAAAAAAAATATGACAAAAACTGAAGATTTTAACATTCAGGGAGCATTTCACATGTAAACTTGTTAGTTGGATACATATGAAGAAGCGCTAGATGGTGCAGAACTTTAACACAAGCATTATATAAGCTTTCAGTCCCTCAGCATAGTCTATTATGTATGCACTGCAAATTGGGAAACTATTGAATATGTGTCATTGTGCATTATTAACTGATAGCAAAGAGAACTATGTATTTAAATGTTGCCTTAGTTTTTTAAGAATGGTGATGATATAATAATGATCTGAGTTCATTGGATGATTCTGTTGTCATTAAAGTGGGTTGGAGGGGGCAGTGAGTCCAAAGCCTTCTTTTAAGCAATATATTTGGCCTCAAACTGAGCTTTTGTGGTTTTCATTTCTGTATCCTTTATTTCCAAGTATGAAAATTCTTTTGTACCATATTGACTGTTCATTTCAAACATAAATCCTTGCAGAGAATCCTGCTGTTGGTTGGAACTAAATTGTGGGAACACACTTTGGGTTTCTGATGATGCATTTCTTGTCAGTTCCCAGCTGTGACATTCAGTGGATATCTGGGTCTCCTGCTGTTTGGCACATTGTGATTTCTTTGCAAGGCCAGGGAAATTCGCAAGGCATCTGAGGAGCTTGATTTAGCTGACATTTTTGTGCTTCTAAGGTCAAGGTCAATTTGAGTTTAATATTTTTCTATAGCACCCTTCTTTTATTTTCATAGATTGCTTTGCTCCCAAGATCACCTAATATTGTAGGTGTAAGCCTCTGATACAAATAGAAATGCATTAGGCATGCTGATGTTTACTAGACACCCATAGCTGATACAAACATCTTGAAAGTAATTTATCCTGGAGTGTTTTTTCTGTCGCCTGTATCATTTCTGTAGGACTAGAACACAGCAGTTGTTCAGGGTTGTCTTTAAACGTTTGAATTTAAAATGTACTGAGTGCTTTATTTTATATAGTATTTCTGACATTTTAACTAATGAATTTTAAAAGTTACCAAGTCTTTAGTAATTCAGTTACTGAAGTAAGGGGACAGCTAATAAAACAGTTATTTGTTCGTTTCACCTTCGCTCTCATGAATATACACCAGTTACAGTGGAGGATAAAGAGTGGAGGTGATTTGAACTTTATCCTTCAGCTTTTCTCATTGAAACCAAGAAGCGTCTTTTTGAGATACGAACAAAGGAACATCAATATCTTTCCGTCAGAAAGAAGCAACATATGGCTTCTTTGCATTCATTAGGTTCTTGAAAGTCTATTCTTTGTCAGTAGAAAAAAAAATTGAAAGAAATTTGGAATGCATACAAAGCCTCTTGCAAATTCTTCCTTGGCTTTTCTGAAAAGTGCTTTTTTGTTGTTCCAGTCCTTTTCACATTATTATTTCCATTTCTTTTCTTATTACATGTAGCGCTTAGCATCCCACTTATTCCTTTTAAATCACTCTTCTGCTATCTTTTGCCCAAACTCTACATACCGCTTGCTGCTTTTACAATGGAGATAGAAGCAAAATGTTTACTCATGCAGTATATGATGGTATACGGTAGTTCAAGTTTGAAAGAAACCTTTGCTAGGGTTCAGCAAACCATATGCTGGTGCAAGTTTCTATGTACGAAAGTGTAAGCACAACAGTGTTACTTGTGGGATTTAAAGATCTAAAAACCAGACCCTATGTCATTCCATATCATTAATTTTGTTGAATTCATATGTGTACCAGCTGGACAGATGATCCATACAGATCTGCTTGAAGGAAAAGCAAGATATAAACATATGAAATAATATGAAATAGTTGCATAGCCAGTCTCCTAGTGCTGATTGCCTGTTTAGTGCCATAGAGTACAGTGGTATTTGCATTAACATAGTTTGGAGTGAATTCAACGACTAATGCTAGCAATTATTGTGAATATTTCTGAACTAGCTCTGAAATCCATTTATCCCTGTTTTATTAGTAAATCTAAAATTCAGCACATTGAAAAGCACATTCCAACATCCTACCACAATATATCTTTGTGAGTCTAATGAAAATAATAATAATAATAATAATAATAATAATAATAATAATAATAATATACTCGCCGATACATCACACAGTCCTAGACACTTGGGAAGTGTCCGACGTGTGATCCAATAGAACAGACAGCAGAGTGATATAGTCTGCTGTGGACTCATCTTGTTGTGTTTCAAATAATAATATACTTTATTTATAATCTGCTCTATCTCCCTGAGGGGACTCAGAGCAGATTACAGGTATATATATGGCAAACATTCGATGCCATTTTACAATTGACAAAGACAGACAGTACATAAACAGAGGCAGACTTCCCTCTTTTCATCTCCGGCATCCGGCTGTGCTCGACTTGGCCAATGGGGGGGTCCTGTTGTTTTATTTTCCACGCCAAAGAGCCTGTCATTCATGGACGCCTTTCCTGGTCGGATTTCTGCCATCATGTTGTTCAAGGCATCTTTTACCTCCCTGCCAAAGTAGTACCTATGTATGTACTTACATTGTTGCTTTTGAACTGCTTGGTGAGCAGAAGTTGGGCTGATGGTGGAGCACCCCGACCCAAGCTTTAACTGCCAACCTTCTGGTTGGCAAGATCTTCTATAGCACTTAACTCCTTCCCAACTTCCACAACTAATTCAGTGGCCTTATAGGAGATGGGTCACCCTATCAACAGAAGTCTACTTAATGGAGCTCAAACAACAAGTATCAGTTATATCAATATAAGATAAACAGTTTTGGTTTATTGATCTGTCATCTGTTTATTGATCTCATTGGTCTGTCATCAATGTTTCAAGGACATGGGTATGTTGAAAAAGGTATTCTGTGGCAATACTGAGATAGTTGATTTGGTTCATCATATTACTGTTTTCTCTGTGTCTGTATTCAATACCAAGACTTCTTTCTTTGACAGGCTCAAGAACGATCAGAAAGTGGAGAACTGGCATTTATTAAGCAGCTTGTCCGAAAAATACTTATCGTCATTGCACGTCCTGCTCGCTTACTTGAATGCTTGGTAAGGATATGTTTACTTTAATCAGTTTGAATATTTTCATTGCCCTGAAGGCCAGTGAAAGGTCTCCAACGAATAAATAGTATCACATTGCTGCATTTAGTAAAATTTTAATGTGTTAAATACAAATTTACCCACTGCAGTTTAGATATGAAAATTAAGTAAACTTGAAATAGTAGTGGTGATTTTTGTTGTTTTTGTTCATTTTCTTAAATGTCTGTGACCAAATGTAAGAAAATCGGAAAATAGAATGTAGATGTTTGAATCTTGTGGCTTCAGTCTTTTATTGTGTATACACTATTGGATCAACTGAATAGATGCAACAAAAAGATATTGTATTGTTGAAGGCTTTCATGACCTGAATCGCTGGGTTATTGTACGTTTTTTGGGCTGTATCGCCGTGTTCCAGAAGCATTATCTCCTGACGTTTTGCCTGCATCTTTGGCAGGCATCCTCAGAGGTTGTGAGGTCTCCCTCACAACCTCTGAGGATGCCTGCCAAAGATGCAGGCAAAACGTCAGGAGATAATGCTTCTGGAACACAACCATACAGCCTGAAAAACTTACAAAAACCCAAAAGACATTGTGTCATGAAAAATCCATTTTGGTTGTACTGTTTGTGGTGTTGAGTTATAAGTTTTCAGAGTTAAGGTTTTATATTTCTTGAATCCTGTTTGAAATGCTCCCCCCCTTAAAAAATACATCCACATAAAAATTCTGCTGCCTTATAATACTTCGCTTGCTACATTCAACTTGAAATAAAGGAATGTAAACAAAACAAGCATGTCTTTCAGGAAAAAAAGTATTTGAGGTCTGGGTGTATAAATGTGATATACCTTGTATTTCTTTCAGACAGTCACACAAACCCCTTTTTGTGGTGGCAAGAAGATGAATGATGATCAGGTCATCTACTCAAGTGCCATCAATTGGGGATCATTCAGGATGCTAGAGCAGAGTTCTGTTCTGATTCCCAAGGTCCAAATAATCGGTTATCTGAACCCTCATTTTCAGAATCCACAGCTTTGTGTCCATGTATTGGAAGTAAAACCAATACTAGGAATAATATTGATGTTAGGAGTGCTAAAATACAGTGAAATATTCTCTGTTCAGTAGAAATACAGGGGGCAAGCTCGACTACCCAATTTGAGACAAACGTGACAATATGTGTGAGATAAATGGTAACATATATCTCTAGTTTGTCAATTATGTGTTACATATCAGATGTATGGAAAAAAATAATGTAAAAGAAAATAAATCCCCACTTTTAGCAAGAAATTGCAATACTTACTTTTTATAGTTGCCTGTCAGCATTTCTTACAGAAAAAAAATGTTTTTAATTGAACAGCTCTCTAAGGAGCAAAAAACATTTGCATCAGCAGTTGGTCTGGGAATTTTTCAGATGGAACTTATCCAATACACATCATCCCCAGCAGCTGTCACAGGTATCCCTTTATGGATATGTGAATATGCAGGTCCCTTTTATGGCTAACCTTTTTTTCTTGAAAGATAAGAAGTGTTTTTTTTACAATAGGCCTGTGAAACAATAAATGAGTTTAAATGGTGTCATTGCAAAATGGTTGCATAGATGAATGGAGAACAAATATTTTCCCTACTAAAATTCATTGTATCAGTGTATATAATGGTAATACTGCTTTAAGGTGCTAAGAAATTAGGTTGTGAAAGTGGTTTCAGCAGAATCAGTAAGATACTATTTAATGAAAGTTCTCAATTGTCTTATAGTTAATGTTTACAAGGAACCCATATACTGGTGAAGAACAGCCTCTTGGGCTGTTCATCCAATTTAGAATTTGGTCTGGTGCCATGTGAAAAATGATAGGCATAGCCCACAGGATCGCAAGCTTTTATTTCTTAAATCTCTCAGATTCTTAATCATTCTTTCAATCTTGGTTCAACATTATGTACTATCACCGCCATTGATGGTTAGTTCTGTTAATTTAAAAACTCAGTTCATAAAAATTAATGAGAATATTTGGGAAATTTAATTGACATGAGTCTTATACATCTCATATATTGAGACTTCACACCTGAAGACATTTCCCACCTGAAATGTCTGATTTTTATTTCTAATTTTTCTCACTCAAGTCAGAACAAATACAATTATAATGACAAACCATTTTAAAATGTTAGTGGCAGGTTTTTTGGGGTTTTTTTGGCATAGTCTCTGACTAGGGTATTACCTGACACTGTGTATTACGTGCCTGTATAGTTTATTTCCCTGGATACGAGTGATCTGTTAACTCCTGTATGTTATCTATTTAGCAGATGCGGGTCCATGGACCATAATAAAGTTTGTTGTTGTTGGTTGTTGTTGTTTTGGCATATGAAGCTCCTAATACTTCAAAATTGTTTTCATTATTTATTTATTTAGAACTTTTATATACCGGTCTTCTCACCTCCAGCGAGGGACTCAGGAAAGTATCTTAAGAATTCACAATAAAAATTAAACAAAACAATGCCTTGGGTTGTTGTAGGTTTTTTGGGCTGTATGGCCATGTTCTAGAAGCATTCTCTCCTGACCTCACAACCTCTGAGGATGCCTGCCATAGATGCAGGTGAAACGTCAGGAGAGAATGCTTCTAGAACATGGCCGTACAGCCCGAAAAACCTACAACAATCCAGTGATTCTGGCCATGAAAGCCTTCGGCAATACATTAAACAGAAACAAGGCAAACTAATGGGTGTTCTTTTTTTCCTTCTTCTCCTTTTAGGAGTTTGATCCTGAGGAGTTTTACTATCTTTTGGAAGCTGCAGAAGGCCATGCAAAGGAGGGGCAAGGCATTAAAACTGACATCCCTAGGTATATTATAAGCCAGCTGGGTTTGAACAAGGATCCTTTAGAAGGTAAGTGTATATCACAATCTAATAATAATTTTTTAAAAAAATCAAGATTGTTGCATTTGTTTGCTTCAAGTCTTTATAGCTCTAATGGTATGTTATCTGGTGATTTCTTTCCCCCACGTGCTTTGGGTGTAGCTTCTGCTTCACGTTCTAAAACTGGAGGCACGTCATCAAAAGCTTCTTCCTTGAATAAATCCACCCATCTCTCATTTCTGATCTCATCTCTCTCAGTGGCATCGGCAGCACAGCAAGGCAGGAACAGATCAATCATAGCCACTTTAGGCTATAAACTACTTTATTTTACAGCTATATACATTAGGAGCTACTTAACACTCAACACATCATAAACTTGCTTCTTTACCATCCGATTGTAACATTGCGAACTCACTAACCATTATCAGTACTAGTCCACACCTCTTGCATTCCAGAGTGACGTATGACATACGACGCTGCGTCCATTTGTTCTATACACTTGATTTATGACCTCTCTAGGAATGCCATTCCCTCCATGGTTCATTTAACTCTTTCCACACAGGAATACATTACACTCGGCACATAGCTACTGCATTTTAAACATACATACATACATACATACTTTGAAATATACATTATAAATTGCAAACAACTTCAACAATCTCCACATCTCTTTTCTTTCATATTATACTTCCGTGTGTTGTGTCTTAGAATCACAGGTACTATCTAGGAGCTTGTAGCTTCTGTCTCTTACATCTAACACTTCTTTTCACAGAATAGAGCAGGGCCAGTAGAATCGTTCACATTGCAGTCCATTAAGATAATGCATCTTGACTGAATCCTTGCTATAGAAACCAGGCAATATTCATGCTTCTCTTAACACTACAATGAGCCCTTTGTATCTACTGAAGGTTGGTTCCAGCCCCTGCCCTGGAAGTCAAAATCAGTGGATGCCCAAGTCCCATTATACCATGCAGTGCCATAGTAAAATGGTGTTCCTTACATCAAATGCAAAATCAAGATTTTCTATTTTAAACATCAACTGGGTGGGGGGGGGGAGGTATTTTCAAATCATGTATGATTGAATCTGTGGGATACAGACTCTATGTATATAGAGGGCCAATTGTACTGTATATTGACAGTGAGGTGGAAGAGTACTTACATTTATGAGTTTGGTTAGACTTTCTTCCTGCTGATCAACAACTGAACACCATGATTACTCATTCAGAGACATTATGCTTCTAAGCAACAAATTTCGAAGATTGCCAAGAAGGGCCTTTAATTCAGGTTCTACTTGTAAACCATCACAGGCAGAAAATTTTGGATGTAATTTGTTTATCTCATTAGTGGGAGCTCATCCATGCTCTCCCGGGCTTCGAACCTCCGACCTGTCGGAGACTTGAAGTTTCTCAAGTTGCTCCTGATACAAAAAAAAGTGTAGCAATAGCCAAATGTATTTTCTATATAATCTTATCCAAAACATGATTTCACATATAATTATTAGATCTACACATCAGAACAGTGCAGTATGTATAATCAGTGTGAGGCTTTATTCAGAACATGGAAAAAAAACTTTCAGAATTCATGCTGCTTTATCCATTATGAAGTATGAGCATCTCATAATGGGTACATTGCAATGGTTACCTGCCTTCCAGTTTATTATGCTTTTAAAAATCGGTCTAAAACAAGGATATATTTCCAGTTGTAAACAAATATGCCACTTCACACCTCAGTGGAATTTATTTCCCAGTAATTGTATATATGATTACGACCCTTTACTTTTTCTCTTTTTTGATATGGCTTTTCTACTGCTTTTTTCTTCAAGTGAAATGATGCTTGCAGTACTTAAAGATAATGCCAGATAAACCTATACTGTACTCGGAGCAATAGCATAGCAGATTCATCATTTACTGAAGCTTGGTTGCTGTATTTCAGAAACATCCCCTGGGGAGACATATCTCCCTGTGGCTTCTAAATTACCGTCTTTACCTTTTTGAATCATGAGTCTTTAGAAATGGTTTAAATCAATGGAATAAAAAAGCAGATGTTTAATAGTATTTAGATGAGTTTTTAAAATGTCTTTAGGCATTGCAAAATGGTTTCTTAGCTCCCTGCTTCAAAAGCTGACTCTTGGTTTCATTCCATTACTACCTACTGTTTACAAATAATGTGTATTTCTCAGATAATGGGTATTTTGGAAAAAGATAATGTTTAAAACTGAACCATTTTAATTTTATATTTATGAATATAATTTCTGAATTGAGAAGGCTGTCAAAGTACATTACAGTGGTTTAGCTCCTATGATGCTGAAAACAAAATAAATATGCATTTTCTCAGCAGTCCCATTAGAAAATTCCACATTCTTAAATTGTTTAATAACATTTTTTCCATTGCTACCATGTGTGGCCATCACTTAAATGAAAACTTGCTGGTTATGTGATGAAAGACACATAATACATGTGTGCTTGACTTAGACTATATTAATCATTTAGTCTGCATTTGTAATTAACTGCATCATGGGTTAATTAGAGGAGGGTGACTAAAATGATCAAGGGTCTGGAGAACAAACCCTAAGAGAAGTGGCTTAAAGAGCTGGGCATGTTTAGCCTGCAGAAGAGAGTGCCGAGAGGAGACATGATGGCCATGTATAAATATGTTAAGGGAAGTCATAGGGAGGAGGGGACAAGCTTGCTTTCTGCTGCCCTGGAGACTAGGATGGCTTCAAACTACAGGAAAGGAGATTCCTGTAGATTAAAATAATGTAAACTTTCATATAGGTTAGAAATCCCTTGGTCCTGAACCTTCAAATAGTGCTCCTTTTCTCCCTTTCCCCTTGACTCATTTTCCTTCTTGTTAGGCTTTCTCTCCCTTTGTTTTTACCTTGTCTTTCTCCCCGATTATTCTTCTCTTTATCTGCCAGTCTCTTTCTTCTCATCATCCCTTTCTGTTTGAACTGTTAGCTCTGCCTGTTTCTCTAGGAAAAGCCAAGGTTCTTTCTTTCCTTTTTTGGTCTTTTTCTACCCTCTCCTCTGTTCCACTTTTTTTTAGTCACTAGATTTTTTCCTCCACCGTGGTACTTCTGTGAATTCACCTATCACATCTTGTCAGAGAATGGAATCAGCATGGCCCAATTCTTTGAAGAGTTTGGAGACCCTTTTTTCTACTAGTGACTAAAGATTTACTGTGGATTTCATCCAGCTTGTAAATAAACTCAGTCCATTTTGGAAATGAGATAACACTGAACTGCACACCTTTAGAGTTTCATTAATGTACATGCCAAGAGTTATTATGGAGACAGACATATGTACACACTTTGGAGTCATGCTGGAGACAGACGCATGAACACTTAGTGTATCTATTTGTAATACAAGTGTTAGTATTTCTGTAATTAATATATCTGTAATAGAATCAGAAAAATTAAGCATTACCGTACTACAAACAGAATGTTTAGCAACAAATGTCTTCGCAATGAATGTTTTGTTTTGGAAGCACTTTGTATTTATTATTATTTACAGTATTTATATTCTGCCCTTCTCACCCCACAGGGGACTCAGGGCGGATTACAATGTACATATATATGGCAAACATTCAGTGCCATAGACACACAACATATATAGACAGACACAGAGACAATTTAACATTCCAGCTTTTCTTGAGGGTATTTTGGCCACCAGAGGAGCTATCCCTTCACTGAGCATTTGTGACACTGATGAAGGACTTCCTCAATCTTTTCATGCTTGCTGGAAATTTTTATGGCCTCATAAATTAGTTAAATTTGCCTCCCCGCATACGCAGTACCTAAATTTCCTACTTGACAGATACAACTGTCTTTTGGGCTGCAGAGGTCGACAGCAAGCTACACAAAATTGGTCAGAAGCTCACTCTGACCCAGGTTGGCTTCGAACTCATGACCTTTTGGTCAGAAGTGATCTTAATGCAGTTGACTCCCAGCCAGCTGCACCACAATCCCAATTTGTATGAGACATTGAGACATAATTCAAACAAAGATTTCATTTAACTTCAAAGCACCTGTTAGAGGTATAATTAATTTTTCCATAAATAGTTAAAATTATTCTTAATTATCTTTCTTACCATTTTAATGAATGTGTAAACTGTATTTGTGTTTCTTTATAGAAATAGCTCAGTTATCTAACTATGATAGTGGGACAGCAGCAACTCCAGAAACAGATGAATCAATTAGTGTAAGTATTTTGCAACATTGAATTATGTTCTGCTCTGACTTCAAAATGAATGGTTGACTGCATTCTTTTAATGTGTATTTTAGTAGGTATTTGTGGAAAGTATTTTCTAAGTATTTTATCTGTATACTTAGTTATAATGAAATTTGAATTCTTTTAATTTATGTACCTTATTTGATTATGTAGCAAATAATACAGTATATATATATATGGATAGTTTTGTAAGACTAAGTTCTTCTCAGTGGAAGACTTAGATATTCCTAGAAAGATGTTCTCTCAAGAATCTCTAGGTTCTCAGCTTGACTCTGTGATCAACTTTTGGTAGAAGCTGAGTGTAGAGTGTCATTGGAGGACCAAGAGATTTCTAGAGAGAACATTTTAGTTAAATTCACAAAAAATCAAAACCACATAAGTCAAATTCACAAATGTGCATAATTCCATTTGATTTTTGTTATTGTTTTAACTACATAGTAGCTATTAGAAAACAATTGGCCAGATTTTTCTAAATAAGGTTCTACAGGTGTAGTAATATGCGATTAGAGCGGCCATTTCTGCGTTCACGTGTACTAAAGTACTTATCTGTATTTACTTAAGTATAATGTGCCATCGGATGACACACACAACTCAATTTTGAAGGTGTGCATTACACACACAAAATTGCTATCAAATGTAATGCAAGGTGTCAGTAGCCATGAAAAGGCTGATGGACAGCCACACCTCTCCCATCAATCCTGGTGGGAGGCTGGTGGTGATTGTGAAAAGGCTGGTGGGAAGCTGCACTCCAGACCTGGTGGAAAGCCAGTAGTGGTCACAAAAAGGCTGGTGGGAAGTCACACCCCTCCATCAGGCCTTCCCACCAGCCTTTTTGCAACCACCATCAGCTTCTGTTCCTTCACAATGTCCTGGTGAGAAGCTATGCCCCTCCATCTGGCCTGGTGGGAAGCCATGCCCCTCCATCAAGCCTTTTTGGGGCCACCATCCCTACCATCCTTTTTGCAGCCACCTCTGCTTCTCCCTCCTCTGTCCCCAGCTGGAATTTCTTGCCCAACAGCTCAGGCATTTTTATGTTCACAGTTCTAATGAACTATTAAATCTAATATGCAGCTCAATTTTAGTGATGCAATTTAGCCAAAAAAATTGTGAGTTACACTCGAGTAAATATGGTTTTCTATAGTTTCCAAGTAAATAAAAAATGATTTATATTTGTTTTACAACAAGAATAAAACTGTGTATTTCTAACACACACTTATAAAGTATTACAGTATTTATTTGACAATTTACAACTTTTTTGAGAGCTCTGATAGCTATGATAAATTGGTTTACCACTACCTTAATATTTCAACTTCATAAAATATTTCATATTTGTATGCCTATTGTGATTAGCTTTTTTGTTACTTGCTTCACAGAGTTCTAATGCACCCCTTAAACTCCAGAGGAAGCCTCGGGAAAGTGACTTTGAAACAATTAAACTGATTAGTAATGGAGCTTATGGGTGAGTAGTCTTTTAGGAAGGGGTGAACTACCTTTTTGGCCTTTTATTACTTGCAAAGAGAAATTATATAATGTAATGCATTCTTAATTCCTCAGTGTAGGCAGACTATTTGGAATGAATGCAAGAACAATAGATTCTCTGTAGCCTATATACTATTTTAAGGAAACATTCTCATTTCTTAATTAGTCAACTTGAAGGCACATAAGAACAACAGCAACCAAAACGAAAGAGAAGATATAAATAAATACTATGATCATGAAAACAACAATAAATAAGCCTAATAAAAATCTGTAACTTGCTCAGAATAACAGCCAAAGCAGAATTGTGCTTTTGTTTGTTTTTTAGAATTGATTGGAAGCGCATATACTGTACTGGTTTTTAGTGTATGAAACACAAAGTTATCAGCGTTAAGTCCAGAAGGTCAGAATTCTGAAAACTAGTTATTACCTAATGAAATATACTGTCCCAATTAACTATGAAGTCATTATTATTATAAGTTGGGAAGTTGGCACATTAGTAATACCTGAGTTCCCAAGAGGTTTAGTACCATTAAGCAATAATTACAACTATATTTGTGGAAGCGCAGCAGTAAACTGCTTCAAGGGCACTTAATACTATTTACTACTGGTATAAACTGAAAATAAAGTTAATGTTGTTGTGAAGCATTTTTCCTTTTGGTGTTTTCCAAGTCATTAATTTCCTCAAGGATTAAGTATTGTTTTTTTATTGTTCATTTCTTCCAAACGTAACAACATTTTCAGTTAGCCAAATGTGTGTGAGAGAGAAAAATAGGGAAGAGAGAGGAAGTTAATAGTTTTCACATCCATTTGTTCAGTTCTGTTGTGGATTTTGTTTTCTTCATTAGTGAATTTAAATGCTCTTTTTCAAAATATAATTGTTGATCTTGGCATACTTTGGCATACATTTGTCAGATGTATTCAACTTGATGAGTTTAAATGTGAATCTTTAAAAAAAATCTATTGATAATTTTAAGAACTCTGGTTTAGAACTGGGGAGTAAATTCAGTTGTAAATTATTTGATAGTATCCAACTATTTGGGCTGAATGGTTGGGAATATCCCAGAAGTTAAACAAGCTGTGAATCAGTAAACATGCCGGATGCAGGCCAAGTTGCTAATGGTTTCACAAGCTGCCTTAGACTTTCTCTTCAAGCCAAATCTTTCCTTCTTGCCCATAAAAAATTCTTACTGCAATTGCAGCATGTTTTCTCTCTCAACATTATGTTAACCTTGAACAAGAGTTTCATTCATAATTATTGCATTTATCTAATCCCTCATCAGCATGGTTTTGTGAACTAGACCCATCATCATTACCAGGTTCTTTGAATATTACATAATTGCAGTTTGGAATCAGTTCTTAAGATTTTATTAGTGAGTATGAATGAAATAAATTTGGCAGTTACATTCATAAAAGGACAAACTAATTGGTATTGTTAGCTGGCATGATAATTAAGCTAGGGTGCTTTGGTAACAGTTGCCTTTTGTGGAATAGCTGTGAGCTGTTTGAAAATGATGGCAAATATGAAATCCCAGTGATCTTGTTTTTGTTCCTGGTCTCTGTGAATGTACACATATGGAGTTACTGTGCATTTGCAGGCTCTAACGCAGTGGTTCTCAACCTGGGGTCCCCAGATGTTTTTGGCCTTCAACTCCCAGAAATCCTAACAGCTGGTAAACTGGCTGGGATTTCTGGGAGTTGTAGGCCAAAAACATCTGGGGACCCCACGTTGAGAACCACTGCAACGGAATGCTTTCCAAGCTGTGGTCTTTCAAACTTTGGCGGTAACCTTGCCCACTCCACCCAGGGCATAAAAGGCAAATGACAAGCCTGCACTGTTTTATCAACATGTAGTGTGGATGACTATTTTCTTGTGGAACAAAGTGTGTGCTATGTAGAGAAAAGTAATGTTTTTCCAGGCACAAGATATTTATGTATTATACATTCATTAGTGGGACATAGTTGGTTTTTAATGACAGTTTTTCATTTTTCTTCACTTATATTTCAGTTTTGCAAAGGACTTCTGAATCTTAAATGATCTGTCTATTAACACATTAATGTGAAACACTAGAAATGCAGACATCAGTGACTTCTTTTTTTCCATGTGCAGAACAGTACCTTCTTTCCTGGCACTTTCGCCATATGTAATGGAAGCTGATTACTTATCTATCTTTAGTGACATGCATATTTACACTTTGTGATTCCTACATTTACATATCTGACTTTATATCTATCAGTTTTTGATCCGTTTGTTTTATGAAATAATAATAATAATAATAATAATAACTTTATTTTTGTATCCCGCCTCCATCTCCCTGAAGGGACTTGGGGCGGCTTACAGAGGGACAAGCCTGATCAACATAGTTAAAGTATAACATGCTAAAAGTACATAAAACATCATAATAAAACAATATAAAACAAACAACAACATGACAACATAACACAGTATAAAACAACCATTGAGCAAATGAAATGTATTTCATTTGTCACTCAATAAACCTGTTTGTATGTCTGAATTAATCGTGCAGGTAACTCTAGACTGACTCAGTCACATCTTATCTGAACTATTGTAATGGATTATGTTAATCAGTAATTTCACCAACTGTGTAATCCTTCCATTGGAAAAAAGGAGTTGTCTGATTATGATGCACCCATCCTGTCTCCTTTGTTTTTCCCCTATGACATCATTCTGCGAAGTCACCAGAAGATTCTGAGTCATATACACATGTTCAGAAGAAGCATTCCCAGGCTTCATTACATTATGTTGTCATATATTATCTATATGTTATAAAAACACTTTAGACAACATTTTGGTTTTTTTAAAAAAATGTATTTTAAAAAATGTTAGCTGATGTAGCAAAATGGATTGGAACATTGCATTCTGTAATCACCATTGATATATACTCGCTTACTAGCATAGTATTTGCATATAAATTAAATGTAACTTAAAACAATATTACTCTCATTTGTATTCCTTCTCTTTCTTTTTTAAAGTGCTGTTTATTTGGTGCGACATAAAGAAACCCGGCAGAGGTTTGCTATGAAGAAAATTAACAAACAGAATCTCATTCTTCGAAACCAGATTCAGCAAGCATTTGTTGAGCGTGATATCCTGACATTTGCAGAAAATCCATTTGTTGTCAGCATGTATTGTTCTTTTGAAGCCAGGCGCCATTTATGTATGGTCATGGAATACGTAGAAGGTGAAGTATTCTGTATACATTGGCAAACACATTGTAATGTAGAAGTGAAAAATAAGCATGAATTCAATGTAGTTACACTGGATTCTCCTTCCACAATCGCATGGTCCTACTTTCAAATATTTCATAATAACTTGAGTCAAAACAACATTTGGTGGGAAATGTCATGTTTATCTTGGTATTGATGCCACATTTTTTCTCTTCTTTTATTGTATACAAACTGGAACTGGTAATAAGCTTTTACAAAGCTAGCCAATCCTGGAATACGATTTAGATAATGTGTTTTTAATTGATGTTTTAATGCTATGTTTTTAATGGTTTGGGTTTTTAACATTTTTGTTTAATTACCTATATATTAATATATGGCATTGAATTGTTGCCTTTGTAAGGCCACCTTGAGTCTCTGTGAAGGGTGGGATATTAATGTGGTAAATAAAAAATATATTTATATCCCACTTTTTCTCTCCACAAGGAGACTTACAATGACAAGGAGAATGATAGTATGCACCCCTTATTTACAGTTTCAGTTACTCTCCAAAAAATATTCTCCTCCCAAAATATTTTTGGTCTCTCTTAAGTCCTCCAATACTATTCTGTGGTATGTTTCTGCTCTATGTATAGTCAAAATATAGGATTCACTATTATCCATGTTTTGAAGTATCCACACATGGCCCATGAATACTGGGGTCATTCTGTGCCGACATTTCCAGTTCTTTCTGAGTAGGACATACACCTTCTCTGCTATGTTGACAAATAAAGAACTGTCTGGCATTTTCAACTTTTCACTCATTTTTGTTCAAGTTACCGCAACTAGAGTGGAGTCCAGAAATACTTCCATACAGTTGAGCAACGGAGAGCAGGTGGGAAGGCGGGAATGGCATCATCACAGCCATAATAAATAGAATATCCGAGTCCCTTATCAAGCTACTGTTTCCTAACAAACTATTTAAAAACATGGTGTCCAACTGGAGACAAAATGTATTTAAACCTGCAAAATTGTGGTGGCTTGATCATAACTACCACTTTTGGATAATTTTTTTGGTTTAGATGTTATTCTAAGCTAGAAAATAACTATTTTTATCCACTATTCTCCCAGCCTGATTGTTTTATTAACACTAGGAAGAAAAGGCATTTCTGTCCCTTCCCCTCCTAACTGTGATGTGTGATTAAGAAAATGTTTTTGTATCTGTTACTTCCTTATGATGTTTCTATTTTTTCTGTATGGCCATTAAATGTATTTACAAGTGCCAATCTGAATTTTGGAACACCTATAGCTAATCTTTCCACCTGTGTAAATATGTATTATGTTTTAGGTGGAGACTGTGCTACTTTAATGAAAAACATGGGCCCTCTACCTGTGGAAATGGCCAGGATGTACTTTGCAGAAACTGTTTTGGCCTTGGAATATCTCCACAACTATGGAATAGTACACAGGGACTTGAAACCAGATAAGTACGTCTATATAATACCTTCAAGATAATAATTGAGAATTAGGCATGTAGAATTGGAAGCTCTGGGGATGATGTTTTTTTTTTTAAAAAAAAAAAAAGAATTGCAATTATAACGAGTTTTCCATATTTATTTGTGAAATATTGCTAGGTTTACAATGCTTTACATTGGTGGACAGGATGATTTGAAAGCTGAGGGAAGTTGTGCTTGCACTTTGTTCACTATTTGACTCTGGATAACTATTGCACTGTAGCCCTTTTTTTTTCTTTTTTTCTTTAGACAGATTAAAACAAAACCTACATACAGACTTACAAAAAAAACCCAACAAAAAGCAAAACAAGATCAACAATAATGAAATATTTAAAATACTTTTTCTAGAATTTTATTATTACATCCTAAACATTTTAAAATGGGGCTTGGTCCCTATGTAAGCCGCCCTGAGTCCCTTTGGGGAGATGATAACGGGATACAAAAATAAAGTTGCTGTTTTTATTGGTTATCTAATCTAAGAGCTTTACATTCTCTGTCTGATGTCTATATTCTTTCAATTTTCTACACCCATTTAGTGATAAGGAACCATTGATACATCCTTTCTCATACAGTAATATACTTCTTGTCCAAAAAAACAAAACAAAACACCCCAGTGATTTAAATTACTACAATTCTTTTCAATATCAAAGGAAAACATTTGTAGATTTGAATGTTTAATATTTCCTCAAATGTGAATCATTTTATATAGAAATGCAAAAAGAGAATATCAAGATACATTTTGCTTTTTATATTCTCTTTTTGCATTTCTATATAAAATGATTCACATTTGAGGAAATATTAAACATTCAAATCTACAAATGTTTTCCTTTGATATTGAAAAGAATTTTATAAAGATGTTGATATCTCTATTTAAGGAGCCCCTGGTGGCGCAGTGGGTTAAAGCACTGAGCTGCTGAGCTTGTTGATCGAAAGGTCACAGGTTCGATTCCGGGGAGCGGCGTGAGCTTCCGCTGTCAGCCCTAGCTTCTGCCAACCTAGCAGTTCGAAAACATACAAATGTGAGTAGATCAATAGGTACCGCTCTGGTGGGAAGGTAACGGTGCTCCATGCAGTCATGCTGGCCACATGACCTTGGAGGTGTCTACGGACAACGCTGGCTCTTCGGCTTAGAAATGGAGATGAGCACCACACCCCAGAGTCAGACATGACTGGACTTAATGTCAGGGGACTACCTTTACCTTTTTATCTCTATTTAATAATATGTCCTATGCCAGTTATCATAATCGTGTATTGAATTTGTTAGATGATTATTGTTGGCAAGAAATGGTGTGTAGGATTACAATTACATGCTTCAATGAAAATAAAATCTCTTGAAATAGTTGATAATAATAATGATTTACTGTCATTCTTATTTCCAGCTTATTGGTAACATCCATGGGACATATAAAGTTAACAGATTTTGGGCTATCCAAGGTTGGTCTCATGAGCATGACCACCAATCTGTATGAGGGTCACATTGAAAAGGATGCTAGAGAATTTCTGGATAAACAGGTAGAGAATCAGCATGTTTGAATAGCTGTTTTAAAGCTAGATGGAATATAATAAAGATCCACTTTATTTCTATAGTAATGTCACAAATCTTCGTGTGAAAGCTATCTTTACTATCGGTTTGCAGATTGTTCCAGGGCTTCTTTTCCATCATTATGGTCTATTAGTAAGATAAATGATGTAATTGTGAGCAAGTGCGATTGTGAGAGAGACGAATGGAAAGTTGTTTTTATAAAGAATTCAGGAGTCTCAGCAGAGTACTTGTGGAACTCATGATGCATTGTACAATCAAGGGTGCTAAAAACTAGCTATGGCCCATTTCCCTTTAAGCATGCCTCATTACCGTTTGCCTACAATCTGTTCACTGTAAGAGTTACTTAAGGTAAAACCATTTAAGTTTTCATGTTAAAACAAGAATAAATCAATTGTGTTTAGTATAAATATATGTCATTTATTACTGCTTTATATTAGCAAATAACTTCCATGAATCAGTCTTTTCCATAAATATAGATGGGAAACCTCATTAGAATATATAACATTACACAAAAGCTGAATGAAACTTTCAATCATAGTTTTTGTAATACATTGATAGAAACCATCTGATAAATTTATGTAAACAGAATAATTTCATTTGCTATCCTTTTCATTTTAGGTCTGTGGCACACCAGAATATATAGCACCAGAAGTAATTCTGCGGCAAGGTTATGGTAAACCAGTGGACTGGTGGTCGATGGGAATTATTCTCTATGAGTTTCTTGTTGGATGCGTACCATTTTTTGGGGATACACCAGAGGAGTTATTTGGACAAGTAATCAGTGGTAAGTATCAAATGTTCTCTTTATATAATAAAATGTAATTATGTTGTTAGGTCAACTTTAACATTCTAGCCAGACCTTTGTTGCTTTCAGGAGAAATGGACAAGGCTTTCTCTCTCTCTCTAAACCAGTGGTTCTTAAACTGTGGGCCACGTACCACCACATGAGGACGAAAATCTGGCCTTTGAGCCTCCTTCCTCTTTTTTATTTTATTTTATTTTATTTTATTTCTGTTCCTTTCACACTGCCTGCCACTTCTTCCCTGTCGCTGACCATGGCATATGTTCTGTATCAGAAACTAGATCTGATGTGGTGTATCCAATGCAATTTTTTGAATAAGCACCCCAAACAGAATCTAAAGTTGACTAAAACTGATTCGTAACCCTTTTGGTACTAATGTTGAATAGTGGTCCCTGGTCAAAGTGATCCCTGGTCAAGTGGTCCCTGGTCAAAAAAAGGTTGGGAACCACTACTCTAAACAGTTGCTTAATATTTGTGTTGTTTCTACATTGTTTGCCAATTAAAACACACAGGAAAAATATGGCACTGAAATAGAAAGTGTGCCACCCCTTCATCTCTATTTCTAGAGTGCTTAATGTGTAATATGTATTCATTAGGGCTGGGCGGTTTCGTTCGTTAATTTCGTAATTCGTTATTAATTCGTTATTTTTTTTATAACGAAGTGATATTGAACCATTCAGGAGCAACTAAAAATCGAAACGAATTTTTAAAATTTATTTCGTAATTGTTTCGTAATTGTTTCGTTATTATTTCGTTATTGTTTCGTTATTATTTTGTTATTATTTCCGTATGTCTGGTGCAAGTTTTATAGTTGTTTGTTTTATCAGTGATAAAAAAAATTATCACACCAACAGTCAACAACAGAGGGAGAGGGAAGCTTCAGAAGTTCCCCCTGTCCCATTTGGAGGGTTTTTTAGCGTATTGAGCAATCGCGTCCGCCATTAACGAATCGATTCGTTATTGTTTCGAAATTGTTTCGTAATTTCCGAAATTTCGTAAATATCGAACTTTTTTAAAGAAAAAATTTGGAATTCTTTTAAATAACGAAACACAAAAAAACCCCTAAAAACGAATCGAGTTTAGAAACAATTTTTTCCGTGGTTGCCCAGCCCTAGTATTCATGTCTATATGTATTGAAAAAGACTTAGGGTTACAACCTGTGTTGGATGGGGTTACACTCCCCCTGAAGATGCAGGTTCGCAGTTTGGGAGTAATCCTGGACTCATCACTGAGCCTGGAACCCCAGGTCTTGGTGGTGGCCGGGAGAGCATTTGCACAACTAAAACTTGTGCGCCAGCTGTGCCTGTTCCTTGGGAAGTCTGACTTGGCCACAGTGGTCCACACTCTGGTTACTGCCCAGTTGCGCCAGCTCCACTGGCTGCCAATTTGCTGCCGAGCACAATTCAAAGTGCTGGCTTTAGCCTATAAAGTCCTAAACGGTTCAGGCCCTGCTTACCTGTCCAAACGTATCTTTCCTTACGAACCCTCTAGGAATTTAAGATCTTCTGGGGAGGCCCTGCTCTCGGCCCTGCCATCTTCACAGGCTCGATTGGTGGGGATGAGGGATAGGGCCTTCTCAGCAGTGGCCCCTCCGCTTGTGGAATGCCGTCCCCAGGGACATTAGATCAGCCCTTACCCTCTTAACATTTCGCAAAAAAGTTAAAACCTGTCTATATGAGTAGGCCTTTCCAAACGCAGTGTAGCTATTAAACTTTGATCTCGAAACGGTTGGACAACGTGACTGGATAATGGTTTTTATTGTGTTACTGATGTTAATTGTAATGAATTTTTACCTGTGTTAAATATTTTTAATGTTTAAATTATTTTTGTACTGTTGTGGGCATCGAATTTTGTAAACCGCCATGAGTCGCCCTCGGGCTGAGAATGGCGGTATAGAACCATAGTAAATAAATAAAAATAATAAATACTATCATTCTGTTTAGAGTTATAGGTCTGCGTATGATGCATAAAATTCCAACATGAAATACAGTGATTAAACAACAGCTAAACCTTTTCTTTTTAAAAGCACACATAAATTAAATGTATGCATGTATGTATTTATCGTGCCAGAAGCGAATTGAGGATACAGTTATAATGTATTTAAAAACACAAACAAAGCTAAAAACTTGACATTATACTAGATGTCCTTTGACCAGAATCTGGCCACTTGGAGTGCCTGTGGTGTCATTGTGAGAAGGTCCTCCATTGCGCATGTGGCAGGGCTCAGGTTGCTTTGTAGTAAGTGGTCTGTGGTTTGCTTTTTATAAAAAGGTTTTAATTTGATACTAGAAAGATTGGAACAGAAACTATGGTATCACATAACATCAGCACAGTACAGAAAGAAAGGATAAGCCAATGTAACAATAACGGTACAAGAACAATTGCACAGGGAAAAGGCTCTACTATATTTGGATTGTTAACATTTTTCAATTCAGTGCAGCCCACTCAACTCTCAGTTTAAAATAATCTGGAATAAAAGTGGGGACCTGTGTATTTAATTTACATAAATGGGCAAATGCCTAGTGGCACAATACAATAAATTGACAGAAATGTAATAAAACCCTAAAACAAATGTCTCCCAGATAATAAATAATGGGGAAAAGAAGGATTCAAATGCAGCTCACAGATTGTTAATGATTTCACTGGTGGTGTTACAGTATAATGTTATTTCTGTAACAGCTGTTCTTCTTTCATTTAAAATTCAATAACCCTTTAGATCTTAACCTGCAGCCTGACCTTAAGTGTTGTTATTCAGCTTGTGGCACAACTAAATGATAATTAAACGGTATCTATTAGTATCCTACCTGCTGTTCTCATACATTTTCCAGATACATAGATTGTTGATGGTTGCTGTTTATGCCAAATCCTTACTGGAATGACAACTTTGTTACTGGTTATTTTCCAATCCATTTTTGGAAAATATTGTGAGAACATCCACTAGTGAAGCCAGGGTAAAAAAGATGCAATTCTGTATTGCCCTGTTTGGTCATTAGGCTAAACATTTGTAAAAGAATGTAATGGATTGGTGAACTGCCTACATAAATCCATTTAAATGCAATATACTACATGGTTATGAGATTAACATGTACTGGTTTTGAGGGTAGAATATACAAGAGAAAATCATATGTTTAATTAACACACATATTGGCTGTACTTGTTATTCCTTCAGGCAGTAATGTATAATATTTTATTTTTCAAATAATTTTCAATTACATCAAAAGGTTCTAGCCAGGCAAACACAGACATAACACATGTTTTCATTATATATTTTATGTGCTTATCTCTTTGGGTGCAAAGAATTGAAAATGTGCATGTTTCTCTATTTTCATTTTTTTTTGTTAGACATGAACTATGTTCAGTATAATCAAGTTCATGAAATACTTAACCTGCCATGGTAGTTTTATCTTTCCCTTCCCCCTTTCTTCATTTTAATGTCTATTGAAACATTTGACTTATTTTTATGGGTTATATTTTACTGAGCCCATCTGCCACAAAAGAGACACCACTACTGGAGAAACATTTTCCCCATCACCACTTAGTCTCTTGTGAAGTTCCCAAATATACTCTAGTGAATTGGGGAAATCTCTACAACAAATTGGAAGTATGCAAAGAACTGTGTTATAAAGAAATTACCTTGTATGAGGGAGGTCTGCTTACACAATCTTAAGTGTAACGCTATACTATAATTAGTTGTTGTTATTTGCTGTCACCATCATCAAGTGTGACCCTATGAATGAAGGACCTCCAAGACCCTGTTCAGAGTTTGAAAGTTCAGGGTAATGACTTCTTTGACTGAACTGAGTGATCTGTGAAATATGATCTTCTGCTGCCATCCACTTTGCTAAGCACTATCCTCTTTTCCAGTGAGTCATGTCTCATGACAAAAATACAAAGTTTCCAATGCACAGTGATTCAATTTAGTCTTACTGGCTTCTAGTGAGCATTCAGGCATCACTTGTTCTGATATCCATTTATCCCTAACCCATATCAGAGATCGAGGTTCACCCACACACTACTCCTGCCTAGGAATTGTTTGGCACATTAATCTGGCTCTTTATCAGAAGCCTTTCTGAATTGGGAGGCTGTATCAGTACCATCAGCATAGCCTCTTGCTCCACAGGAGCCTATAATTCCATAACTGCCACACAAGGGTAGTGCTTTCATAATTATGTGAGATAGACAAGTTAAAAAAATAGGTGCAGTATTGCTGGCATAACATTCATAGGTGAGGCTGCTTATCAACTCCAAGAAACCATGAACGTATCAAAGTTGACATTAAACCTGTTCACACAAAACACACTAGATTTGCTATCAATTTTTAACATTTCGTTCAATATTGTAATAGTAATATGGATAGAAATATTATGCTTGCCAAGTTGCACAGATTGATATAGTTTTCTCAGATATATTTAGAACATTTACAAACTGTAATTTCTTTGCTAGATGAGATCAACTGGCCTGAAAAGGATGAAGCTCCACCTCCAGATGCCCAAGACCTGGTTACATTACTTCTGAGGCAAAACCCTTTGGAGAGGTTGGGGACAGGTTAGAAAATATATGTTTATATCTTTTTAAAAATCCAAGGTGCTAGAAATATTTAGTTCTTTGTCTAGTTTTGTCCCAATTGTTGACCTTTCTCCACTGTCAGCCTCCCCCCTAATTGTCATTGATTGCAATATAAAATTCATCCCAGTTATAAAATCTTTCTGTTTTGTTTCGCTGAAAGCTATTATTGAACAAAACTCAATTTTGTCTGGTTGTTATTCAGTCATAATAAATTCTGACCATATTTTACTACATATTCTTCACACATCAGATTGATTTTCTTGAGCAATAGTTGATAATGAAGTGGCAGTGCAAGCACCTCTACAAATACATGAGGCACTACTATCTAATGGACTTTACTTCTCAGAAGTGATTTTTTTTCACAGAAGTATGTAAGTCAGGAAGCTTTGAGCAATCTGCAGATAATGGTGACAGTGAAATGTCACTTGTAATGACTATATATTTTATATAAATCCTATAAAATGGTTATATTAGATTTCACTTTTAACTATCTTGGGGAAATCATTGTTAAAGTGAAACTGTATGTCCTCAAGTCATATCTGACTTATAGTGACCCTAAATCAAACCTATCATACTGAATTTTTTAAAAATTTGTAAAAATGTGTAGGTGTAAACTGACAGAGTTTCTCTTGCTCCCCCAGGTGGTGCCTATGAGGTGAAACAACACCAGTTCTTTCAGCACTTAGATTGGAATAGTTTGCTGAGACAGAAAGCAGAATTCATTCCTCAATTGGAATCTGAAGATGACACAAGCTACTTTGACAGTATGTATGGTTTGCTTTAGATATGAAATTTAAGTTATGATTTTTTTTACAGCTGTAACCCTTGAATTTTTAAAGTAATCAAAAATGAGAAGGATCATTGCATTAACATTTTAACAAAATACAATTATAATTCAATTAGTCTTTGAGTGGTAGTAAATTCAAATAAATAATCTCTATCTATTTTGTAGCTCGTTCTGAGAAATATCACCATATGGAAACAGAAGAGGAAGACGATACAAATGATGAAGACTTTAACTTGGAAATAAGGCAATTTTCCTCATGTTCACATCGATTTTCAAAAGTAAGCCTTTGTATATAGACTCATATGCATTGAATCATTCCATATTTGCAGACAATGGCCTGAAAAAAGAATAAGACAATGGTTTTGTGTGCCATTTCCTCATTTAAGAGTATTTTTAAATCATGTTTTAAAACAATATTTTTGTAAATATTATTTCCACAAATCTGGTATTGTTAGTTTCCTGGTAGCTTCCTAATAAATTAGGCAAAATGAGTTCCTTACTTGGAAAAGAAAACCAGTCAACAAATGAGCATTAGACATTAAGCCGCCCGAGTCCCCAAGGGGAGATGGGATGGGATATAAATAAAGTTGGCTTGACCTGACTTGACTTTTGGTGGTATTCAGTGCCAATTCTTGAACTAGGTGACCTTCCTCTATAATACAAAAAGGCCCACTCAGGTTTGTTCCTCAGTCAGTTTATCCTGTTTCCAAATTAATACAAGAAGTCAAAATAGAAGCAATTAAAAGCAGAATAATGAGAGAGGGAGTCCTTACATAGTAAAGAAAATACAACTGAATATGTAGGTCTTTATTCACATTTATTCTAACCCAATGAAACTCAGAAAATAAAAAATGAAATTATTGCAACCATGAATAGGCAAAAGGAATATTTTAGGTAATAAATTCTCTGCACAATTTAGCATAATTTAGCCTATATTAAAAACCTAAATATCTATCCCTCTTATCCATGGTTACATGATGCTTTGTCTGAAGTAATCCATAATCCCTATTCACCTATAGTAACAATGTAAGAATAGAGAAGAAAATAGGCAAGAGAAGGTCTTGCTTTCTGTGTAGTGATGTGAAACCTTTGTCATGGCTTGGCAGCAGGAATCCAGCTCTCAAACAGTGAGAAGCATTTAAAATTTCTCTGTGCAGATGGCTCCTGTGTGCTTCCAAGATAGCATACTATAAGAGTAACTTGATACTGATATCTCATAGCATCACTTTTTTTCCGTTGCAGGTAAACTCAATATGCAGGTTGTCAGATAAACAACTGGCTTTTTAGGCCCGTCCCCAACTTCCCTACATCTTTTAGTCGAGTAATTTACTGTCATTTTCACACTCAATTTCAGTTCGCTCTCTCCACCCCACCCCCTGCTTCTCACTCCATGACTGATGGCTATTAAATGACTTGCTGGGATTTTCTTTTTGTTTTTCAATGACTTTTTTGGTAAAGAGTAATCTGAGATGTGCATTGATCCTATGATGTAGAAATCTCAAAGCATCGATAGATTTAGCATGCCGATCACAGTTCATATAGTCAAAAGGTAAAGAGGAGGAAATGATACGAATTCATGACAGAAAAATGCTATTAGTTATCATCTTGCTTGGCAAAAAGACCAAGAAGGAAGGAACTGAAAACCATTTAAAAGACAATACCTCCTGCAAATTCATTCATCATCTGAAAAAGTGCTTTAAAACTCCAGGATATTGCTTATATGTATTTAGAGCATGCCGTGCTCTGCATGAGATGTATTTTTCTGAGGTTCATTTAGAGACAAACAACTGTCAGCTATCAATTCTTCTACCCTCATGCTCAGGTTTTTAGTAATATAGATCGAGGAACTCGAAATCAGACTGAAGAGAAGGAAGATACAACTGAAAGAACCAAAATTGTGACACTGACATCAGCAGAATCTCTAAGTTGGAGCTCAGAATATTCTGAGATGTAAGTGTTTCATATTTGTTTACAGCCCATGGGACACTTGTCGCACATTATCTTCAGTCATTATGTGAAGCAACTTAGACCTAAATAAATACATCAGAAGCTAAGCACTAAGCTTTATAAGAGTTTGTACTCTTGTATACTTTTTATATCTCTAACTAGTGTAATTATTGTATAAAATTATTGTAAAAATTAAGTGTGTTGATTGCTGAAAGGTATTCGATGAATTCTGTTTATTGCAAACTTCATGAACTTTGTACTCCTGGTTTTAAATATATTTAATTATCAAATCTAAATCTAATTTGAAAATGTAGGCAACAGATACCTATATCTGTCTCCTCTCCTTTATTTCTGAAAGTTCTAGGCAACGGCACAATTCAGGGGTGCTTCCTAAGTTGGCTATATCAGCTGAGGAAGATCAAGAAGAATCTCCACGTTGTGTTGGATCCCGTAAAGATCAAGAAAGAACTAACTTTGTTAGTGAGGAAACTATTCAAGATGAACTGGAAGTAACAACTCCAGCAAGCACCATCAGTAGCTCTACATTGTCAGGTAGGATTCAAATGGCAAAGCCTTTTCTAAAAGGCTTTCTGTTGAGAGGTTCTCATCTTGAGCCATGACAGTGATTTCACATCACGTTCTGCTTGAACTAAGAATTGAACCTAGGACACTGTGCTTATTTGAGGTTTACACAATTAAGCACAACATGTTAAATCAGCATGCAGATGTTGGATTTGTGTACAGTGCTGTCTAAGCTATATTTCTTTATTACATGAACTGTTATTCATTCCTGGATATGAAGATGTTTTTCTGCTCCGGTGAAGGCACAAAAGTAGACAATGGTTGTGAGGTCAAAAGCATCTCACAAAATTCTCTGATTTCTTTGTCCCAGTGTCATCTGTCAGCTGCCAGCTGTGGCAAAAGTCAAGCCAACACAGTAGGCATGTGCATTCAGGCCAAAAGGCATGCCGTTTTCGGGTCGGTTTTCATTTGATCCCTCATTTTGTTTACCAGAAAGTTACCTGAAAGGGGAGGGGTGTTTTCAGTTTCATTCAGCAGAGATTCAGCCCATTGGCTACAATGGGAAACTTTACAGGCTCAATCCTCAGCCATTTTAAAGCCTATCTGCATGAAACCTACCTCAGTTGTAGACCCCATTTACAACTGCAGGCCTACCAAGTTTCAAAACAATTCACCAATCTACTGATTTTTTAAAGAATTATTTCAAGTTTTAACCATAACATTTGGGAATTGTCGCTGGTTTTGTCCATTCTCAGCCAATCAGAGTATGGGCACCACCAGGCTATTTATTGGCTGAGAGACACAGAAAGAGAAAAACTTGAACTCTCATCATGCTCCAAGAGGAACTTTCAATGGCCACCCTATGCTAGTGCCACTGGGAAAGCGAGTTCCCAGGGCCCTCTCTGGAGGAGGTAGCTTTCCAAGAAAAAATGAAGGAGGCTTCTTTTGCCGGGAAGAGAAAAAGACACCACAAATCCCCCTGCCTCTGGTATTTTGCGGACTTAACTCTTTCCAAAAAAAATCATCTCTCTGAATCTGTTTTGCTTGTCTTTTTGTCTCTCTCTTCCCCCTTCTGTTTTCGGAAATTAAAGGAAAATGGCCCTCCGAAAACGAAAATCTTTTTGTTAACAGTGATTCGGGCCCAAGTCTACAACACAGTACTTTTCAACAGGGCAGAGATGGTCAAGTATACTACTGCATATAATGCTGATGCAAGATCCAATCATGCATAGTATTTTAGCAACAGAGATGTGGGGGAATGTACTGTATATACCAGGCATGGGCAAACTTAGGCTCTCAAGGTGTTTTGGGCTTCAACTCCCACAATTCCTAACAGGCTCAGGCCCTTTCCTGTTCCCCCTTAGGTGCTTAAGCCTGGTATATACTCATGTCTAAGTTGACCCCATGTATAAGTCTATGACAGATTTTTGGACCTAAATTATGGATATTGATATGACTTGTGGATAAGTCAAGGCCCATTTCACAAAAAGGAGAAAGCACCAATGCCATCTCTTGGGACCAATGGCTCCTGACTATTGCCACCATTTCACCATCCAGGCATTTTAAAAAGGTCAGTGTCATGTTTGAGAGTAGAGGGCTTGGTGCTACTTTTAGGCTCTCCTGGGAATGATTAAGCTCTTCCCTTTCTCCAATTTACTCAGAGAAAGGGAAGGTTCCTTTACTTATAAAGTGTAAAGATAACAGTACTCACATTGACTCATGTTGACGAAGGTTTTTTTGTGTTGATTTTTTGACTAGAATTTCTAGACTTATACTTAAGCATATAGGGTAATCTGCTAACTTAAAGATCGGTTGTAAAACTCTTCCCTAATTCCTAGACATGTTAATGGGAATATCAGTAACCACTCCGATGTTTTATTGTAATCACTTGTTGCCAAAAAAAATGATTAAACACCTTGGTTGTGTTCTTCCACCCCTTAGTTTATGTGTTTCCTTAATTTGTTCATCGTTATCTTTTTGCAGTTGGCAGTTTTTCAGAGCACTTAGATCAGATAAATGGAAAAAACGAAACTTCGGACAGCACAGATAATTTCTCAAAGCCAACTAGTGATCAAGCATCTCATGTAGCTCGCCAGCGATTAGAAACTACAGAGAAAAAGAAAATATCTGGAAAAGTCACAAAGTCTCTCTCAGCTAGTGCTCTGTCCCTTATGATCCCAGGAGGTATGTAACTCCTTTTTTCTCATATGACCTCATTAAAATGTTTTCAATTTGAAACAAGTCACAGATTTTTTTGTTTTCTTGGCATTTACTCTGAATCTTTAAAATAATTAAGATTAAAAAAAATTGCGACTATTATAAATCTTGTTTTGCATTTTGTTCCATCAGCAATGGACAGAAACAGGAAGTTAATACAAGATTCAGGTCTTTCTATCTCTAGTTCATCCGTGGAGGATAGCATAGAGAGGGATTAATTTTTGTTTGTTTTAATTCCATTCTTATTCCAGTAATGGAATAATCTGTACATGATGTTTGAATGTGCTGAACATTGTGATAGTCAAAGAACAGAAATTTTGCATCTTTGGATTTTTTCAGTAGTCTTTGAATGTAGCTGATATCAAAGTAAAATTTGGTTGAAAACCAATCCCCAAATTTGTGTCAATTGGGCTGAAAGAGGCTCTGCACACATTCTCACTCTATACGATAAACAATCCCTGTTAAGACAGTTTTCTTTGTCTTCAAAAGACGGAATAAGCTTAGCAATTAAAACACAGTTCCTCTGTCCCCCTTTGGACTAAAAACAAAATGAAAAATTTCCCTCCACAACTGAAATTCAGAATATTTTCTAGGTAGTAATAGCTTAAGCAATAGATGTGTTTTCAAGTATGTAGGTTAGGGATATAAATGACTGTTTAAAAATTGTCAGCCACCACTATTTTTTTTACTTATATGACAAAAGTCTAATGCTTTTTCATCAGCAGTGGCAATAGCAAAAAAAGTTGCGCAAAATATAGAGTTTCACAAAAACTCCCAGAAGTGAAAATTCATTGACAAATTCTTGCAACCTTTCCCACATTTTGAAATTGTTATATTTTTGTGCAAAAATAAAATATATCTTGCTAGTATTATATATAGTCCATAATGTATTTAAAATCTTAAATACATAGAGAACCATGTCTTCCAGATATATTTGGTGTATCTCCTTTGGGAAGTCCCATGTCCCCCCATTCTGGGTCTTCAGATCCCTCTTCCTCCAGAGACTCTTCACCTAGCCGTGACTCTTCAACTGCTTCAGCCAGTCCTCATCAACCTGTCATAATTCATACTTCTGGCAAAAAATATGGATTCACTATCCGAGCAATCAGAGTGTACGTGGGTGACAGTGATATCTATACAGTTCACCATATTGTTTGGGTAAGGTATTATAATGTTTGAAACTGGTATGTTTTCCATGAATTGTTTCAAGCCTAAATTTGATAATGTTAGGTATATCATTAACATGCAGGCTGTTAATGATTTCTCTCCTTATATTATATGCCACTGAAAATTAAAACTAGTTTTTGAGATATGCCATGTAATACTGGGCTAGTTTTAATTCTTCATTGTACGTGACCACATATCGGTTAACTAAAGTGTCCTAGATTAGGTGTCATATGCTCTTCCAGTATTTTAGCTTGGCAACAGAAAATATTCCTGATGATTGGCTACAAAGGTTGGGGTTCATGCAACTTTAGAGTTCAACATCTATAGGACTACAGGCTTGCCATTCCTGTTTTAGATTATGTACTCCATTGCCTAAGCAATCAGGAGAAAAACTGTGGATCTAGAGGTGTGGTGGGCAAAGCCTGACCTGAGGACTACATGTGGTATTCCTTCACATTTGTATGCCCCTCCGCCCTCCCTGGAAAACAATTTTTTGCAAAATCTTTCAAAAAATTGTTCTGCCTATAATGGCTATTAGGAGGTGTGGGATATCTTCCACCACATTTTGCAGGCTTCCTGAGACAATTTATGCCAAGGAGAGGCATAAACCATGGTTAAATCAGCCCCAGAGATGTTTGAAGGCCTTTCCTTTCCCTTCTCTTCTCCTTTTCCTCCTTCTTCTCCTCCTCCTCGTTCTCCTTCCCTCCCCCTCTCCTCCTCCTCCTGTTTGCAAGAGCAGATATGGCCCTCCATGGTCTCTTATGGGGCTAATGCTGTTCCCTGGTTTTCCAGTTTCCCACTCTGGTCTGATAAATGTGTTTTAAAAATCAAGGGTTCACTTTTTCTTCAATATTTATTTAACTTTCCTATTTGATTGATTGGTTTTGGTTTGTATGTTTGTTGGTTTGTTTGTTTGATTTTGTATCCTATCTTTTTCCCAATGCTAGTCTCCAAGAAAACTCAGATGATGATTTAAAAAAAAACAAAAATACAGTTGAATGCACAATACGTTACAATACAGGATGTTTCGTACTGATGGACCTAATTTTAAAGCATTATATTTGACAATGGCAACATGTTACAATTGCACAAAAAGTTAGAAATGGTTATTCTCCATTTGCAAAGTCTCCAAGAAATCTCAGATGATGATTTTTTAAAAAACAAAAATACAGTTGAATGCACAATACGTTACAACTTGGTAACTTGTTAAACCATTTTGAGCTAGAAATAAATCTAAAAAAATAACTTTGCAAATGGAGAATATCTCATTAGGCCTTATGTTTTGGGGTCACCATCTTGCAAATGGAGAAGCGTGTAACACTAATCATTTGAAACTACGTTCTACCTTTTAAGTGGCAAGAATTTAATTCACGAGCAATTTACAGTCACAGAGATATACTGGTCGTGATTTTATATTGGGTCCATCATTTTGAAACACCCTTATTTTAATCTTTTTAACCTGTCATTTAATTTGTTAGCTATTTAACATATTTAGCCTTTTAAAACTATTTTCATTGTTGATAATGTTTTAAATGACAGTACATTGTATTTTAATATGGTTTGTCCATATTTTAATATGTTCAACTTCAGTTTAACAAGAAATTATCTTTTAAAAATGTCAAATTTATTTTTTTAACTGAAAACCACCTTAAAATGATGGTGAATACCAAACATTCCTTATATGAGCTAAACCATTTCCAAGTCAAACAGATTAATTATTATTCATGAAATTTTTGCTGTGCCCAGATACAATTGCTAGTCACAACTTGAGTAGTTCCATTAAAGCAAAGATAAATCAACACTTGTATAAATTTTATAGATAAGTTGGAACTTTTTTTTATGTCAGGAGTGACCCGAGAAACGGCAAGTCGCTTCTGATATTAGAGAATTGGCTGTCTGCAAGGACATTGCCCAGGGGATGCCCAGATGTTTTAATATCCCATGGGAGGCTTCTCTCATGTTCCCATATGGAAAGCTGGAGCTGACAGATGGAAACTCACCCCGCTCCCTAGATTTCGGTCAGCAGTCCTGCTGGCACAAAGGTTTAACCCATTGCACCACTGGTGGCTCCAGTTGGAACTTATTAGATGGGACTAAATGTGTAGTGTAATTCTATAACCAAATAGGTAAAAATATTCTTATTGTTGACATATTCCTCCTAATTATTACCACTATCATCATCATTTCATTTATATCATGCATTTTGCTCAAAACTGGAATTTTGCTGAAAAAAATATTTTTCCCTTTACTTTTTAGAATGTTGAAGAGGGAAGTCCAGCTTATCAAGCTGGATTGAAAGCTGGTGATTTGATCACTCACATCAATGGAGAGCCAGTGCATGGTCTTGTTCACACTGAAGTCATAGAACTGTTATTAAAGGTAAAAAAAAAAAAAACTTTGTTCCAGAAACTGTAACTTCATATTGTCGAAGGCTTTCAAGGCCAGAATCACTGGGTTGTTGTAGGTTTTCTGGGCTGTATGGCCATGTTATAGAAGCATTCTATCCTGACATTTTGCTTGTATCTATGACAGGCATCCTCAGAGGTTGTGAGGATATTGGGTTTATATATCTGTGGAATGTCTAGGGTGGGAGAAAGAACCCTTGTCTGTTGGAGATAGGTGTGAATGTTTCAGTTGGCCACCTTGATTAGCATTTGATAGCCTGACAGTTTTTAGGGGTGCCCTGTTCCTGCCTGGGGGAATCCTTTGTTGGGAGATTATTAGCTTTTCCTGATTGTTTCTTGTCTGGAGTCCCCCTGTGTTTTAGTTTTGTTCTTTATTTACTGTTATAATTTTAGAGTTTTTTTAATACTGGTAGCCAGATTTTGTTCATTTCCATTGTTTCTTCCTTTCTGTTGAAATTGTCCACATGTTTTGGATTTTAATGGCTTCTCTGTGTATCCTGACATGGTAGTTGTTAGAGTGGCCCAGCGTTTCTGTGTTCTCAAATAATATGCTATGTCCTGGTTGGTTCATCAGGTGCTCTGCTATGGTTGACTTCTCTGGTTGTAGTACCCTGCCGTGCCTTTCATATTTCTTGATTCGTGTTTGGGCAATGCTACGTTTGGTGGTCCCTATTTAGTCTTGTCCACAGCTGCATGGTATACAGTAGACTTCTGCATAGGTGAGAGGATTTTACTAGGGCTTATACAGTTCATCCAGCCATTTTTACTATGATGACAAAAAGAAAGATAGAGTCATGGGTGCACAAATTTTAGTAGATGCATACCACTGGAATATTAGGTGGGACAATACTTATGTCTGCCTGCTGGTCAGTTGGCGGTTAGCCTAAGATGAAAATAATACATATAATTCTGAGCTAGTTGTCAATAATGTTAAATGTATGGAAATGTATCAGACACCCATAGCATATTTGTTCACACTGTACATGTTTCTGTTATAGTGTCTCCTTTTTTTTTTTGAATGGGGGCAGCTCTCAAAACATATACATGGCTCCTTTATAATAATTTTCTTATACTTTCCCTGAGCATTTGATAATAGCTCTGAGCCATATACATTTGACCAATCAAGTGGAAAATTGTTAGATGCCTAAGGAATAACATAACCAGTTAAAGTTAATACAACATCAGACTTCAATGCTCTGTTCACAGAGATTAGGCAGGCAGGCAGGCAGGCAGTTGGGGTGGAGCTGCATTCCTATGGCACTGAAGAGAAAAATACCAGAGGTGTAATGAAAGAAAAAGAAGCACTCCTTGCAATTATCTGTACTCTGAACTGTGTAATCGTATTTCATCCACTTTCGTCTGTCTCATAACACATGACAAATATAATTGCTGTATTAATTGAGGCCTCTATCAGCTGTTTTTCCAAACCCTTCTCGTAGTATTGTTAAGTGGATTCTGGAGATAACCATTTCCATCCTTTAAAAATATTAGCAATGTTGTTTCCAAGACATTTTCCAGAAATATGGCTAAAGTATTTATGAAAAGCTATTATTATTGTAATTACTATTTTATTTTCCAAATGGAAATTTTTAAAAAGCTATGGTCTAAAGTGCAAAGTTATAAGCCCCCCCCCCCCCCGCGCGCCAAATTAAGGTGGTTGAATACGGATGGCAACATATTACAACAACACTTCCACCCAAAGTCTCAGTCATATCATTCTCCAGAGTGTTTAAAAATTGACTTCATTTGAAATTACTATATTTCTACAACCACACATCACCCATAAAACAAAGTCTTCCCCCTTGAAAGGGTGGGACATAGAGTTTCAAATGATTAGATGCCTCTCTCCAGTGCACAAAATAGCCCCTGGCCTCAGTCAGTCGCAAGATGGCGACCCCACAATATAAAGCCTATTGGGCTATTCTCCATTTGCAGTTATTTTTTAGATTTGTTTCTGAATCAGAATGGTTACTAAAACTTGATAACTCATTAAAGCATTTGCAACTTGTTAAATTGCAACATGTTGTCATAATGAAATTGGGTCCATCACCTTGAAACACCCTGAATATAGGACATCATTAGTAATGAGAACAAACTATAACAAAACACAAGCTTTGATAATAGCATTTACAAATAAGATTTTCAGTATAAACATGTGGACTGAATTTCTATTTTGAAATTTAGGCAGATAAAAGAGAAAAATAGTAACTGTTTTATGTCAGGAGCCATAACAAGACATAAAACAAAAACAGAAACATAACCTCATAAACACAGTATACAAAGTACTCTCTCTCTCCCTCTCCCCCTCCTCCCTCTCTCACTCTCTATATGTATATATATACACATATGAATACATACATACATACATATATACATACACACAAACATATAGAGGGATTTGAGCCTCTTTCTTGGGGCACATGTTCCACATATTATCAGATATTTCTTATAAATTAATCTTCCACAAGGTGCTGGTGTGCTGCTTAATCCCTAGAATACATTGCAGGATCAGAATGGTTGTGCCAAAAGCTAATATTGTCTAGTCAGATAACTGGGATTTGCAAAAACAATGGTTTTCCTGTTCTAATTGCTGCCATACATCGTTCCTTTGGTTAAATGGTACAAGCCAAGATTTCAGACTTCTAGAAGTTGGTAGAGAAAGAATTGCAGTATTAATATATTTTGCGTATGTGCTTTCAAGTCATCTGTTGGGTTAAGGTGACCCAATGGATTGCATAGGGTTTTCTTAGGCAAGGCATACTTACTATCTTGGAGTATTGTGATAAAACAGATGGCTCAACTATATGCAATGGGTATCACTCAGTGTGGTAACTCATGGTGTTACCACACTGAGTTACCTTCAGGCTGATATGGGCGGGATACAAATGTTGTAAATAAATAAATAAATAAATAAATGGTGTTACCCCCATGAACCTCTTCCTCTACTAGGCCATGCCACAATATTGTAGCTAAGATACCAGACAAAAATTTGACAAGATCAGGGACCATACAAAAACAGCAGTACTAAAAGAACAGTAGGAGTCCCTGGTGGCGCAGCGGGTTAAACCACTGAGCTGCTGAACTTGTTGACCAAAAGGTGGGTGGTTTTAATCCGGAGAGCGGAGTGAGCTCATGCTATTAGCCCCAGCTTCTGCCAACCTAACAATTTGAAAACATTCAAATATGAGTAAATCAATAGGTACCGCTTTAGTGGGGAGGTAACAGCGCTCCATATAGTCATGCCAGCCACATGACAATAGAGGTGTCTACAGACAATGGCGGCTCTTCGGCTTAGAAATGGAGATGAGCACCACCCCCCAGAGTCGGACATGAATAGACTTAATGCCAAGGGGAAACCTTTACTTTATGTGTTTGTAGTGTGTGCATATGAAGAAATACATGCTTTGCAGCATCACCACCACCACTCCCCCTTAGAAATGACACTGACTAGATGAAGGTAGTAGGGAGCAAAGTTTGCTAGTGAAATTGACATAAAGGAAATGTTTCTAAACAACTTGAACATTCTTATTTGACAGAGTGGCAATAAAGTTTCAATTACTACAACACCTTTTGAGAATACTTCAATAAAAACAGGACCAGCTAGAAGAAATAGCTATAGAGGCCGAATGGTTAGACGGAGTAAGAAAACAAAAAAGAAAGAAAGTTTGGAAAGGTGAGTTGTGTTGCCTAATTAATGCCAAATAGATTTGTAATGCTTGTGAAAACATGCTTCTTTATATCCAAATAAAGTAATTTTCTCTTCCCTTTCAGACAAATCTTCTCTTTCTTTTTTTCCACATGAAATATACTCCTTATCTAACTTTACTCTGTAGACTTGTTTCAGTCTCTTCAGTTTTAAGATTTTGAAATATTTTCTAACACTAAATAGTAAATACTATATAGAAACAGTCTTCCTCAGTAGTAGCCTCTGATTAGAATCATGAAAAGTATATAGTTCCATATTTCTGTCATTTGTTGGACTGATGAATTTTGCTGTTCATATTTACAATATAAGTTATGTTATGGAGTGGTTAATTTGTGTTCTGTTAACTACCATTAAGGAATATTTCTTTAAATTTCACTAAAAATACTGTCATCATGGTGGGATGGTGGCATATATTTGTACAAGTAGACATTGTGGTGTTTTTTCATAATGAAATTTTGGGGTTTGTAGATTTATTTTCTTTCTTTCCCTCTCTGCCTGCAACAGTGAATGGCAAGACTCTTTCCCTCACTTTCCTCTCACCCCAATCCTGGTTTTAAAACTATTACAGCCCAATAATTGTTCTAAACTTCTAACACCAGAAGGCATTTTTGTACATTTTATAATTTGCTATGGATTTGTGGGCATTCACACTTGTGTTTCTAAACTCTTGGTTGCTGCATTTTCTGAAACTTTGTCATTTTTCACTTCTTGTGAGTAAAAGACATGTTATTAAAACCAAGGATATTTTTCAAGGATATTTTTAAAAATGACTTTTTGCTTTCATTTTAGGAGAAGATCTCTTTTCAAAAAGCTGGCTAAGCAGCCATCACCCCTTCTTCATACAAGTCGTAGTTTCTCCTGCCTGAACCGATCGCTTTCATCAGGGGAGAGCTTGCCAGGCTCCCCAACTCACAGCCTGTCTCCCCGCTCACCAACGCCAAGCCTTCGCTCCACCCCTGATTTCCCCTCAGGTGAGTATTTATGAATGCAGATATTCAGTGAAAGAAAAGGGCCAGTCATTGATTACACTCAAATGTTTATAAACATGAGCACTTTATGGGATGGAACTTATTGAACTACAGAACTTAACTTTCAAAAGATGAGAAAACGAACCATTTTTGAAGCTCTTGTGTAGTCTTAAAATTAACAAGGTTGGTCAAGTGGAAGATTCCTTTCACCAGCCTTTTTGCTTCTCAAACCTAATCACATCATTAAAATAATAGAATATCTTCTTATTTCATATATGCATACTGACTTGTATTAAATCAATATTTAGCTACAAGAGGCTAGTATTGTGCCACATAAGAATACTGTGCAAAAAATCTGAAAGTAGGTCAGATATAGTTAGTGTAAACGCTTGGGGAAAAGCATGCAAGGAAGATTCAAAACTATAGATGTTTGACCTTTGAAGACCAAAATGCTTTAACCATGTGGGCTTCTACAGATATCACATCATTTGGACATTGAATAAAATATTTTTCATGATTTATTCTGGAAAATAAAATAAGGAAAACAGTGAAGTTTTATTTGTTTCCCTCCTAGGTACCAATTCTTCGCAAAGTAGTTCTCCGAGTTCAAGTGCACCCAATTCTCCAGCTGGATCAGGGCATATTAGACCAAGCACCCTCCATGGTTTGGGTCCCAAGCTTGGTGGGCAAAGATACAGGTCAGGAAGACGCAAATCAGCCGGCAGCATTCCCCTTTCACCCTTGGCACGGACTCCTTCTCCCACACCGCAGCCAACTTCCCCTCAGCGATCTCCATCACCTTTGTTGGGGCACTCAGTTGGAAACACAAAAATAGCTCAGGCTCTCCCTGCCAAAATGCATTCTCCTCCTACTATTGTGAGACATATAGTTAGACCTAAGAGTGCCGAACCACCACGGTCGCCATTACTCAAAAGGGTTCAGTCAGAAGAGAAACTTGCCCCTTCTTATGGCACTGACAAGAAACACTTGTGCTCACGCAAACACAGCCTTGAGGTAACTCAGGAAGAAGTTAACAAGGAAGTATCTCAACGAGATATAACCCTTCAGAGTCTTGAAGAGAATGTTTTGGATGCTCCATCACTTACACGAGTGAGGCCTGTAGAACAAGGTTGCTTAAAGCGGCCCATTTCCAGGAAGGTAGGCAGACAGGAATCAATCGATGAACTGGACAGAGAAAAATTAAAAGTCAAAATAGTTGTGAAAAAGCAAGATCTGACAGAGAAACAAGAACACTTGCAGAAAACAAGCACTGTACATGAACTTTGTGGTGAATCAGAAAGCTTTGTTACCGCTTCTCTGGAGGAGAGAGATGTCAAGAAAGGATTTCCAAAAGCTTTGGACAGATCAACCCCTTCTGAAATTAAAATTACATCTCTGGAGATACAATCGGTAGGTGGCATGTTAAAGGACACCCTTCAAAAGAATGCAAGCATGAGATCAAATGATTATATTGCTTCAGATGTGCACGTACAATGTCATGGGCCTCCATTTAATGAACTCAGTCATTTGCCTTATGACTTCAAAAGAATTCCTGCTTCATGTACCTTGCAGGATGTTCTGCCTCACTCATCTGACAAGATGCTGAATGGAAAAGGAGAAATTGTAGATAAAACTGCACCAACAAAAGAATTTGTCAAATTTGAAAGATTAGATAGTAAGCTTGCAAATATTGATTTCCTTCGAAAGAAAATGTCCTTGGAAGAAAAAGATGACAGCCCCTGTCCAGTGCTAAAGTCCAAACTGACATCAAATGTGCACGAGTGCCATCAGCTCAATATAGTCAGACCTATAAATGTGCTGCAGGATTCCAATTCAATTGTTGAAAGCCGACCTTTTATCAGCAGTGCTCATGCTGCTCAGATTAACTCTGTTCCTTTTGTTCCTCTCAAAGCTTTGAATGTCCGAGGAGAAACTAGCATGGAGAAATCAGCCATGATTTCTACAGAGTCTCCTGTCCGAAAGAGTCCTTCAGAATATAAACTAGAAGGAAGGTCTGTGTCTTGCTTGAAACCTATTGAAGGTACATTAGACATTGCATTACTTTCAGGGCCACTGGTTTCAAAGACAGAAATATCTTCAAAGACAGAAATATCTTCTTGTACATTCCCAGGAGGTCAAAATACCAAAAATGATGCTGTGGTACTTACGTGCTCAGGTGGTAGCAATATGCAGGTTGAGCCATCTCCGAAAGAGAAGCCACAAACCTTCCACCAATCCAGCCCTTGCAAATCCAATCTGTCTCCATGCTCAAATCCAAATAAAACTGCACAGAGCTCACCAGCAATGCCTGTGACTACTGAACATCAGCCAGAAAAAACACTCTCCAATCTCAGTGCTAAATGTGATCCGTCTATACGGGTAATTAACCAAAAAAGAGAGGTAATCCAACTTCGTGCAAATGAGACTAAATCTAATAGCCCTCAAAACCAGAATTTTGCCTTGACAACCAGCAGATCTGCCCAGCAACAAGGAAATTCTGAGAAAGCCAAACGAAAAGAGAAGAAAACATCTAAAGAAGTTCCTGACAGCCATATAAGGGCTCAACAGAGTGGTGATATGCTTCCAGAGAAACCTGGGATAACTGAGGAGGCCTCAGCAAAGAGACCTGTATCAGAAATGCTCACAAATCAAGACCCTAAACGCACTGCAAGGTGTTCCTTTGATGCACATTTGCAGCCACAAACACGTGGAACAGGAAAAGTACAGGTAACAGGTTCAAAAATAAAGGCCAAAGATGTCAGAGATATGTTCAAACAATCAGCAAAAGAGGATGGTAACACTGTTGCAGAAGTTTCAGGAAATGGGCTGAGTGTACAGAAAGCAAGTGTATGTTTCAAGCCTGAAGGTTCAGTCCTTCCAATGTCTTTACAAACATTTTCAGATCTAAGTTCTGCTAAACAGGAAAAAAATACAATTAATGTAACGGTTCAAAAGGACAGCCCTCGAGATCTGAAAGCAAAAGAGCAGAGACAATCTAAAAATGTACTGCCAACTTCTGAGAAAGAATCCAGCTTTGCTTCTAGACCACAAGGTAGCAATCCTGAAATGCCTTCTGTGAAACAATTGTCCAGTGTATCATCCACAGCAGATGCTCCTCTGTTTTGCAGCAACCAAGATAATCTCCGACCAACATCAGAACCAGAAAATAGCACTGTTAAGTCAAGACAAGCGTCTGACACTTGCTCTTCTAATTTAAAGAATTCTGATAAATTGACACAAAAACAAATTGCTACAAATGTAAAAGAAAAGGAAAATGGTGTTCAGATTTTGACTGGTTCTAAGAAGGAAGGGAAAAATGTAGGTTTTTTATATTCCTCAAGCTCTCCCAAAAAACTAAATAGTGAGCATATCCAGGTAGAACGACAGCTGGTTGTAGAATGTGGGTCAGAATCCTCAGTGCAAGCCAGTAGCAGCATGCCTGAAAAACAACTTAAGTCCTCCAGTAAAAGCCAGGGAGCAGCAGTGGCACTAGACAACACTAAGTATTTTCAAAAGCAAGAACTGACAAGCTTAACTGACCCTGTTGATCAAAAGCCATATCATGTACGCAGCAAACAAAGCGTGCCTCCAAAAATATCTGCTGTGAAGGATAGTCCCTTGGTGAACAAACAGGTAGACAAGGGCCCAAGCAATCAGACCAGCGCTGCAGAAAAACAGCCCGAAGCAAAAAAAAGCACTGAAGCACTTTATTTTCAGAGTGACCATGGGAAATCAGATCTTAGTTTTCCTACTCCTAGCAGTGATGCCAGAGGAAAAGCTGTGGAAAAGGCAGTCACTTGTAGCAAGGACACAAAAGGCAAAGGCCACATGAATCAGAAACAAGTAGTGGAAGGGAACAAGCAGCATGCAGCAAAACATTCCTCATCAATTTCTTTGCAGACTTCTTGCCGCACAACTGCAGTGACAACAAAGCAACTTGACTGCCCATCCAGCATCCCTGAATCTAGACAGGAAGTCCGTGTTTTACCTTTGACAAAAGCTAAGCTGGGATCATCAGAGCCACTTGCAGCGAGCGGCAAGGAAATGAAAAAGCAAACCAGCTTGTCCACAGAAGGTGGTAGGGCAGAAATGACTAAAAGTGTTTCATTGCTGGGCATGTACTGCACTCCATCCCCTGTGGAAGAGAACATTCCCATTTCTGACTTTGGGGGGAAGCTGAAAAGTCAAGAGAGGCCTCACGCTGCTAACACTGTGGACATAAAGGGAAAAGACCCTATTCTGCCTCAGTCTTCTGCTGTAAGAAAACAGAATGTAGGTAAAGATTTGCCAAAGTCAGGGACTTCCGCTGACTCTCTCAATGCACTTTCGTCTGACAAAGACTCGGCCCGGCAAAGGCGAGGAAAAGAAACCTCAAAAAGTAGTCCTCACAAAAAAACCTCCTAATATCAAGACTCGCAACTCGGATTTCTTTCCCCAAAGTGTCATATCTCATTTTATCTTTCGAAAACAGCACTGTGTGGTATTTTCTTGCAGAAAAAATACTCCGCGCCACTGAAGCAGGGTGTGTAAAGAAAGGACTTGTTTTTTCCCCCTCAAATTGCCTTCCCAAGTGTAACCGGTTAAACTGTTACCATATTGTATTTGTACAAAAACACTTTTACAATTTGAAACATAAGTTGCAGGGACAGGGAGGGGGTCAGTAGCAAACGGTCTGTAAATACTTCATAGTGTTATTCTGAATGTAGTGTATCCACTTTGCTGCTGATTATATTGTTTCCTCTATCTTTTGTGGTAGTAGCTTTGCCACTGGTTTTCCATAATCTAAGAAGAAACAGAATTACTATACTTTGGGCCTAGGTTTAAACCCACAAATATACCGGTCTGACGGTTAGGACAGAGAACTAAATCCCACCCCCACCTCACCCCACCTTTGTACTTGTTCAGAACTATATACTTAACTATGAAATTTAAGAAATTTAAGACTTCTAGTTGCTGTCAGTGAGTTTAGGTGTGAAATTTAAGAGCTTGAGGATGGTAGTATTGTAGTGACCTAGATATATTAGTTTAAATAGCTGACCAAACTGCAGCTTATGTTTCACACAGCGTCTGCGTTTTGGTAGGGCTATGCTAGTAATAGCGAAGGAAAGAGTCTCCATTATCATTATAACTCACACTATACCATTCCCACTTTAGCTTCTGGTAACATGAAGGCCACGTCATCGCCTTTCCTTCATTGCATCTTAGACTGAGTCTGTAGTGACTTTGCAGTGAGCCTAGCTTCTGCTGTTGATTCAGGCCACATTTATTTAGAATCGGGCATAAAGATAGTCCAGAAGTGCATCGCTTGAAGCATTCGACTGTTTTGCATTACCTTAATGAATCATCTTGTTGTCACGATAGATAGATTAGAGCTTTTTTTTCTATTTTATGACAAGAGGTGGGGAGGTAGGGAGGGGGAAATTGAAGCTTTTATTTCCCAACAATGTATCTAGATATAGTATATCCAGCACCTGATAATACTTTAATACCTAGCTGGGGCCTTATGTTGTAGAGTAGCTTGCTGTTTTTAGCAAGTCATCCTAAGTTTCACATTTTGAAGTACATTAGTAGCTGTATACATTTCATATTGTGACCTTTATTTGTATTGAGAAAAAAGAAGTGTGTTTTATAAAAGAATAAAAAGGTGGTTTTGTAAAAAAAAGTGTGTGTGGGGGGGTTCTCTTCGAGCTACTTGGTGCTAGATTTTGAGTGTCCTTTTTACTTTTGCTAAGCCTTATTTGAATTTTGTGTATTGTGGAATGTGTCTAATGTGTCTGATTAAATTTGGAGCAAAAGTGCTTGGTTTGGTTGGAAACACTCCAGAAAATTGATCACAGATAGGTGTGCTAAAATGACCAGGATCCAGAAATACTTTTTATATGTTTTCTATGTTGATTTGCAAAAGTTCATTTAGTGGTGCCTCCCACTTCCCATGGATATTTGCTCTCTCAATTTCCTGAACAATCTTAACACAATACCAGCATGCTAGATGCATTTCCTTGAGAAAAAGCATTAAGCCGGTTGGGATTTTACTCATTTTTAGAAGTCTCTGTTAAGAAAAAATTGCCAGAAAGTTTCTAATTTTCCATGAAACATTACTGCATTCATTTCCCTTATATATATACTCATGAATTATTTAGAACAACTGGATTATTTTTTAAATTTGCATGGTCCTAGCATTTACAATCTGTGTTTGTATTTTGGGAATGAATTCACTGAACATGAATGCACTCCAAAATCATGACATTTCTATCTGGGAGGTATTTTATAGTTTACAGTGACTTGTATTTAAAATCCTTCCATTTGTTTCCTTTAAAGCACATCTAGCTATCTTGTTTACAAATGTATCTTTTTAATGTATATTTTGTATAGTACTTTATCACTTTTGCCAAATATTTTTTTTATTTTGGAAACATAGTAGCACCTATGCTTGTATTCATGTAGTCCCTGTCCGTTGCTGTTTAACTTAGAGTGAACTGTTAATGATCCTCTTAAATGTACTTTGTCAGTCTCTGTGTGGTTGTATATTAAACTGTCCCTTTGTAGTACTTCCTACTGTAGATGATCAAATTATTAAAAAGAAAGTTTGTTAGGATCTGTGCAATAAAGTGTTTGCAGTCTTATTTTCTTTAAGAAATCCCCATCTGGATGTCATAACCAGGGGGTATTGGATAAAAATATTTATACTTATGCAGTTGCAGAACATTGAAATAAAAATGAGCATGAAAGGGATTGAGTTTGTTTCTTGAAATGACTTCTGCAAATATAAGTGTTAATGCACAAGCTATAATAGAATCTCTGGGTTGCTATGAGTTTTCCGGGCTGTATGGCCAGGCTCCAGGCGCATTCTCTCCTGACATTTTACCTACATCTATGGCAGGCATCCTCAGAAATTGTGAGGTCTGTTGGAAACAAGGCAAGTGGGGTTTATATATCTGTGGAATGTCCAGGGTGGGAGAAAGAACTCTTGCCTGTTTGAGGCAGGTGTGAATGTTGTAAATTGGCCACCTTGATAAGCACTTAATGGCCTTGCAGCTTCAAGGTCTGGCTGCTTACTGCTTGAGAGAATTCTTGGGAGGTGATAAGCTGGCCCTCATTGTTTCTTGTCTGCTATTCCCCTGTTTTTGAGTGTTCTTTATTTACTGTTTTGATATTAGAGCCAGATTTTGTTTTTCATGGTTTTCTCCTTTCTATTGAATTTGTCCACATGCTTGCAGATTTCAGTGGTTCTAACTACCAGTATTACCAGTTCTGGCTACCAGTATTAAAAAAACTCTAAAATCAAAACAGTAAAGAAAGAACAACATTCAAAAACAGGGTAATTCCAGACAAGAAACTATCAGGGACATAGCCATATAGCCCGGAAAACTCACAGCAACCCAGTAATTCTGGCCATGACATTACATATAATGGAATTGAATGCTGCAGTGATAATACACTGTTGAATGGATAATCCTCCATCTTCACAGCAGATTTTCAGAATGTTATAGAGCCCTTAAATGCCTTTTCATGAAAGGTTCATCATTCCAACACAACTCGTACTTTTTCCCTCAGAGGAGAAGCCACAAGATCCCTTCTCCGATGTCATTCCACTCCAGTGTCCCCACATTAGGTACAGATATCTGAAAGAGAAAGCTTTACACACATTTTCCTGCAGGTTCGTTGAAGATTTAAATGATGCTGTAAAATACTATTGTGTGGATGAATGAGTTTGGCACTGGAGTTTTAGGATTTGTTTCAGTAATTTTGGAGGTTTATTGACCTCCTATCTAAAGTAGGAGCATTTCCTTATGCACTATAGAATTGTATCTTCACTTATATTAATGACACTATCAACCATGAAGTGCCATGCTCATGATAATGCCACTGAACATATATAATAAAAATTAGTGTAGAATGGGGGAAGATATGGAGGGAGGAGGACTAGTATCCAAATACAGTCATGTATTGTACTTGGGACACACAGTGTGGTATCAACTCTTGATTTCCATGGCAAGCAAGTGATAGATTTCATTGAACAGAATGTAGGAGTGACATCTCTGACGTTGGCAGAGCTCCATTTGAATACAATGCAGGTACATCTGAGTTCAAAATGCACAGCATTTCAGAAATGTATCTATATGTATCTGAAAACAGAAGTTGGTGTTGCAACTCATATTGTAATGCATTGGCTTGATTTGTGTTGATGGGAGTGTCACTGTAGCTGGATGTGGTCTGGATACAGTTGTTATCTTGGCTCTGCAACAGTATGAGAAGGCAGTAGGTGATGAGCACAATATTTTCTTTATTACACACCTATGTGGTGAAAAGTGTGGAACTGATCAGCTGTAGGAAGGTGCAGGCATGTCTATTGTGAATAGAACCCTAAGGCTCTTTCATTCTATATACACATATTTTGCAATATTGGAGCCCCAGGTTGTGCAGTGGGTTAAACCGCTGAGCTGTTGAACTTGTTGACCGAAAGGTCACAGGTTCGAATCTGGGAGTGGGGTGAGCTCCCACTGTTAGCCCCAGCTTCTGCCAACCTAGCAGTTCGAAACCATGAGTATGAGTATGAGTAGATCAATAGTACTGCTCTATTGGGAAGGTAACGGCGCTTCATGCAGTCATGCCGGCCACATGACCTTGGAGGTGTCTACGGACAATTCTGGCTTAGAAATGGAGATGAGCACCAACCCCCAAAATTGGACACAACTGGACTTAATGTCAGGGGAAAACCTTTACCTTTGTAATATTAGGGTCACCCCTGATTTGAACATAGCGAACACCTGTCTGAAAGAGACATCAAGCAGGAAGTTAAAGAAATGCCTCAGGCAATTCATGATTGACAGGATCCATTTTTAATAGAGAGGAATACAAGTATAACAGCAAGAATGGAAAGGTCAGAAAATTGAATCCAGATGTGTAGGAATATAAATGTTGCTGTTTCTCATTCTCACAAGCAGGAATTGATATTGCTGTCTTTAAAGGCAGCCCCATGTAGAGTCCATTACAGTAATCAAGGTGTAACCAAGGTGTGGACCACCATGGCCAAGCCAGGCTTTTTGAGCTATGGTTGCAGCTAGTGTACTGTTGCCTTCCTGTTGGAACCTATTGATCTACTCACATTAGCATGTTTTTGAAATGTTAGGTTGGCAGAAGCTGGGGTTAACTCACACTGCTCCCCGACTTCGAACCTGCAACCTCTTGGTTAGCAAGCCTAGCTAGCAGCTCAGCTGTTTAACCCACTGTGCCATTGGGGCTCCAACAATAAACTATACATGAATGGAATTTATACCATCGAATCTCAAAACCACATCAAGCTGGAAAAGAAGGGAAAGTCAAAAACCAAACACTTATTTGCATAAGTGTAATTCAGCATTTCATCTTTAGGCAAATGTGTTTATTTTTTAAAGCATCAACGTAACATGTTGTATGACCTTATATAAAAATCATGGAGCCAGCTGTTTTAAGATTTGTCAGTACATTTGTTTTGTCAAGTTAAAATACTTTAATTAGCAAACTGAAAGCTATTATAGGGGAAAGAGCAATCTGCATAATTTCTTGTGCCAAAATAAACTTGAACAATATCTAATTCAAGAGTTCCCTTTTCTTTGTGTGATGCTTTATTGTTGCTATCACTAGAAGAAGCTCATGGGAAAAGTCGCTGTTTACATATTTAATTTAAGTCTTTGTTGTTGGGTGCCTTCAAGCTGTTTCCAACTTTTGTTGATCCTTAGCTCAGTGAATAAAACTGGGAAGGATTCTATTCTCATTCCTTGTACAGTACTGAAATAGAAACAATCACCTGCTATCTATGCCCACAGGGAGATAAAGAAATACATATGACTACTTCTTATTGAGGGCACCCTGGTGGCGCAGCAGGTTAAACCACTGAGCTGCTGAACTTGCTGACCGAAAGGTTGGCAGTTCAAATCCGGGCAGCAGGGTGAGTTCCTGCTGCTAGGCCCGGCTTCTGCCAACCTAACAGTTTGAAAATATGCAAATATGAGTAGATCAATAGGTACCACTCTGGCAGGAAGGTAACAGCACTCCATGCAGTCATGCTGGCCACATAACCTTGGAGGTGTCTATGGACAGTGCTGGCTCTTTGGCTTAGAAATGGAGATGAGCACCAGCCCCCAGACTTGGACACAACTGGACTTAATGTCAGGGGAAACAGGGGAACCTTTTACTTCTTATTGGGTCCTTCCTAGTTTATGACATTTTAGTTCCTGTTTTAGAAAATGGTCCTTTCTGCACATTTCCTATTTTAGAAAATGGTCTCTTATGGGCAAAAATGCCTCTATATTCCCTGAAGGGCACTGGGAGACAAAAAAAAATCTCAAATGTTTTTTGAGCCATGGGTCACAGGCTGCTCTTTGTCCACCCTAATGTGTGTACTATAATTGTTCTCCTTGGCTATTCTGAAAACTTATTAATTAGTGAAGAAAAATAACATGATATTTCTTTACTGCTAGTTGCATTTTTTCTCAAACATGTTTCTAAGCCTTTTCTTAATTATCAGAATTGAATGATATGGCATAAAATCATTGTAACATACCTAGTTTTATCCTTTTTTCCCATTTTCCAAGGAAAGTGCCCATTAGCCTTTTACCTGCTTGGCATACACGGCTTGCCTGCTGTGGTAAATCATGGTTTTCTAACATTTTACTGCCAAAATGAACTGCATGCAGAGAATGTGAAACTGAACGGTCTTTCTTCTTTCCCTATCTTTTCAACAATTTCCCCTAAACTACCTCATATCAGGATAGTGAAAATGAGAACAGGAAATAAATGTGCTATTAGAAAATGACATTTCCTTGTAAATTCCTTCTTATGAATATCTTCTTTGAAGTTATTTTTGTGTACTTTCCTGTTTTCAGGAGCTTAAATGTGTTGGTACTTTCTTTATAAAAAGCGTATGATCAGAATGAAGGTCACTGCAATTACTGTTATCACAACAAAGGTAATCAATATTACCTTCGCAGTGCTATACCCACAAGACAGATTTACAAAGAGGAGCTTAGTACCAGCTAGTGACTTGGGCTCAGAGCAGACTGTCTCTTCAAAGCCTTCAATTTTATCTATGTTTTGCTTGTACCAAGTTAATAATCCAGTATTGGAACAGGTGCATTCCAGTGGATTGTAACTTAAATTGATTATGCTCTGGCCAGATAAATTAGTCAGCATATCACGTGGGATAATATGGATCCCGTTATTGGCAAAATTGAGATAGATGTTCCTAAGATTAAAAAAGGCTCCTGAATTGAATGTAATAAGATCGTTGTGGCTCACGTCCACATGCTGTAGCTTTCTGAGGGCGGAAAAGGCTTTGGTTTCTATGGCCAACAATTTGCAGTGAGATAAAATTAACACCTCTAAATTGTACACTTGCTGAAAAAGGTGGCCATTCAGAATGGTCTCAGGTTCAAAATTATTTCCCTTTAGATTTAAGACACGAAGAGACTCTAGACCTTGTAAGATGTGCTGAATATTTGGACCAATTTGAGAAAACGAAAGGTTTAGGATCTGCAAAAAACGCAGATTGCTAAAAGGTCCCTCGGAGGCATTAGTGGTTTCAATGCGTGTGAAAGCCAGATCCAGGACCTTCAAGTGAGCAGATCCATTAAAGGCTGTACTATGGAGTAACAACTTCTTGTTGTAGCTCATGTTAACATGTTGCAAAGTGTTCAGCACAGAGAACTGCTTCCTGCAGCAATCCAAATCTTCTATCTGACTGTTGCTCAAGTCAAGATATTGAAGGTTTGACAAAGAGTCTAAACATCCAGCACCCAAATCCAATTCCTTAGAATTTCCTCTGATGTACAGATGTGTGACAGTGGGGTAAGCAGAAGGTCTGATGTCACAAAGGTGGACAAATTCATTGTTGTTGAGATTTATTTCCTTCAGCATATCTATCTTATGATGTCCAAGAGGTATCTCAGAGAGTGAGGTATGGGTCAAGTCCAGTGTCTGAAGTTTAGTCAACCACTTGAATGTTTCACAAGAGAGATTTAGGAAAGTACGATACTGGAGAGTGAGGTGGTCTACAGATACATTGCCAATGCTCTGCAGTGCAGTAGGACTTATTGGAAGTACATCTGAATCCAAAAAAGTCCCAAGATGAAGAGCAACAGATCGACCCCCTTCTAAACCTTTCAAGATGATGGGAATATCAACACAACCGCTCAAGTCCAAACTGTAAAAAGAAATAGAGCTAAAAGCCCCAGTGTCAATATGCACAATATCATTCCCTTTTAGTATGAGAGTCAGATTGCTTAATTTTTTAAATAGCATTACATCTTTAGCAGATATTTTTTGGATGTTGTTCATCTGAAAATCCAAATATTTTAGGTTTCTAGTTTTGAAATTTGATGGGAACTTTAGAGATTGAATGTAGTTGTTTCCTAGTATCAGGATTTCCAGGCTACCCAGATCTTGCATGGGAATAAATCTTAAACCAGTGAGTCCTGTTTGGGTGAGGTCAAGGTGCTTCAGTGACAGAGGTCCTGCAAATGCTGTATTTCCAATGAAAAGAAGAAGATTTCCCATCAAGATTATAGTTTCCAGATGAGAATTGTTCTCAAATGCATCTTCATATACCCAATTAATCTGGCACCTTAAAAATAACAAACAATTCTGGAATTAGCACACAACAATTATGCTTTATTATCTAAATCCTACCATCTGTGGAGACAAAACTAGAAAAACAAATCTATTCCCCCAATGGCATGAACATGGCTGATCTTAAGGTTGATTACATTGCCACAATCACAGGGTTTCCAAGCAGTTATTCTTTCAGGATGCAGCACTTTATAAGGCAGGTTTGAGAACTTTGCTATTATGGTCAAGGTCTGAGTCTTACAATCATAGAATCATTAAGTTGGAAGAGACCTCGCAGGCCATGCAATCATTGAGTTGGAAGAGACCTCACAGGCCCCTGCCAAGAAGCAGGAAAATCGCATTCAAAGCACTCCAGACAGATGGCCATCCAGCCTTTGTTTAAGAGCCTCCAAAGGAGCCTCCACTACAGTCCAGGCAAGTAACTCCACTGCTGAACAGCTCTCTCAGAAAGTTCTTCCTAGTGTTCTGGTGTAATTTGAAGCTATTGTTCCGCACCCTAGCCTCCAGGACAGCAGAAAACAAGCCTGCTCCTTCCTCCCTATGACTCCTCCTCACATATTTATACATGGCCACCATGTCTTCCCTCAGCGTTCCCTTCTGCAGGCTAAACATGTCCAGCTCTTTAAGCTGCTCCTCATAGGGCTTGTTCTCCAGATCTTTTTAGTCGCCCTCCTCTGGACACATTCCAGCTTATAAAACTGTTACTTGCAACGTGGAGGGGGGAAATCCAACCCATGTAATAGAGGAAAATGCAAGGATCCAAAGTACCTTGTTAAATCTAAAAACACCAGCTCCCTCAGCTTGCTGAATGTTGAGGGATGAAGGGAATACAGGTAGTTAAAGCTGAAATCAAGAACTTTTGTCATGGACGGCAGTTGATCTGGAATCTTGGTCAGCTCCAAACCTTCACAACTGTAACTTCTGTTAGTAATAAGCTGTGAACAACAGAAGCACACATATTAATTTGTACAAATACATATGCTGACACAACACATTCTGTATTGTGTTTTAGAGAAAGCACTGTGCCGCTGTAAAACCCATTTAGTGAAGCAGTATGGAAGTCAAGAGACTGGAAAATGTAATACTGTTCCATTGGTAAGGCTGGTTAGCTCTGTCATAACAGCATGTTATCTAGGAATCTGACATGTTATAGCATCTTGGGGTTGAATAAAATATAAGTGTTGCACAACACAATGTGTAGCTACAGAAATAAATACAAGTAGTCAATGTTTAAGAGCATTTTGTCCCTTCTTTTGAAGTTTTAGACCCCATCTACACTGACATTACAACGCTGTTCATAATGCAATTCAACTGCTTTGAAGTGCAGTGTTGTTATTATTATTATTATTATTATTATTATTATTATTATTATTATTAGCTGTCCCCTGCCATGAGTTCCTGTGGCTCAGTCTGTGTGAATGTGTTTTGTGTGTGTATATATGTGTATATGTGTATATATTTGTGTATATGTGTATTTATGTGGTTATGCACATGCATTATACTTATTTTTTTTTGCTTTTTAAGTCTCTTCCAATGTGTATGTGTGTTTGCGTATATATATGTAGTTTTGCACATGTGTTCTAATGTATTTTTTTTGCTTTTTAAGTCCCTTCTGCTGTGTTTTTCAGTGTTTTTATGAGTGATGGTCACTCGTTGACCTGATAGGTGTCTTGTGTCCAAATTTGGTGTCAATTCGTCCAGTGGTTTTTGAGTTATGTTAATCCCACAAATGAACAGTACATGTTTGTTATATAGATTATTATTATTATTATTATTATTATTATTATTATTATTATTATTTCAGACATTTATATCCTGTTCTTCTCAGCCCCAAAGGGGGACTCAAGGTGGCTTACATCCGGCAACCATTAGATACCAACAACACTTCCACCTTGTTCTCCTGTGCTGTGCTAATAATATAATTAATATAATATAATATATACATGTAATATTGATAAATTTATAATGTAATACAATATAATACTAATAATAATATGATATTATTAATATATATTTTATATTACATGAAATATTACTAATAATATTACAGTATAATAGTATAGTACAATATACCAATATATAATACTAATATTGTGCTATGCTGATAATATAATATATGTATTTACATATTACTTGTAAGCCACTCTGAGTCCCTTTCTGGGTGAGAAGGGCAGCATATAAATGTCGTAAATAAATAAATAAATAAATAAATAATAAAAACACAGTTAAACATTAATTAAAACATCATAAGTTTAAAAGACCATTTAAAAGAGACAAATCTAAGTCCAAGTACAGAGTCGTAATTCACAATCTATGGCACTATTATTCACACACACATAATTAAAGCAAGCCTGAGGTCTCTGTATTATGCTTAGCTATTGCCTACCTGTGCTAGCCTACTTTTTATTGATGTTAACTATTCGTGGCATCCCAAACACCTGGATATAACCATCTCATAAGCTGCATGACAAGAGTGCCCTGGGTCTGTGTGCCATTATTCCTCTTAAGATGTTTAGAAACATCAGCTAAAAGCTGAGGGCAAAACAGAGCAGCATATTTTGTATGAAGGGAGCCTCAGTGCCAATTGCCTCCTACACCATCTAATTTATTTTTTCATGCAGGGCACAGACCACAGTCTGGTTGTATATTATATTATAATATGGCCCGTCACAGATCAATTCTATTTTCTCAATGCTGCAAAGCTACATTTGAAAATGTAAATGTAGGGGCATTGCAAATGTTCCAGTGAAAGCTAGATTTATGTACACATATTAGCATCCTCATATGATCTCCTTAAACTGGCACATGATACCATCACAACAGCATTTTAACAAAGGATATTTAAAGCAAAGACTATTAATGCAGTGAAAAGGCAAGGTGAATCATTCTTAGAAGATGACTTGAAGAATAGTAGAACGAATGGGATCAAAATAATTTAATATAATGAGAAAAAAGGAAATTGCACAGAAACCACAGATTACATTTCTCTCTCCCCTGTCTTCCTTTAGAGTTACATTATAAAAACTAATTTAATTACTTCAGCATTTCAAAATTACCATTGTAAACAGCTATTTTTGAAATTTGAAATTTTGGAAGTATGTGCAAATACATTGACCAGGTCCTTAATCTACACTTTACACAAAACAGGGGAGCAATAACTTGATATAGTGAAAAGCAGAAATAAATGTTTAGCTATTAGTGTAAATGGAACTAGTCCTGCCTAATATAGCTATAAAGGAGCTCTGTGTTCATGGCACCAAATGTGAGGAGGGAAAACATCACCCCAAGGTCTAGTTGTGCCAAAATTAGGTGCATTTAAACTGCTTATAAAGGAAAGCACCTGTTCAGAAGCCAAGGCTGCACACAGATTAAAGGCACCAGTGGTCGGTTTCATTACAACCCCTCTACTTCCAGCAAACTCTTTCCAAAGCCTTGTTATATAAAGTCCAAAAACATGCTGTGAAATGTTGTGTACAGTACATGAAAAATAGTTCTTTTGTTATGTCCACTTCTTTATATGCATTGTTTGCGTTTTTTTGAAGTTTTTTATTAGCCTATCTTCTAATCGCAAAAACATGAGATATCAGTCCTATACGATAAACAGAAATATATCACCACATAACAAAAAACGTTATTTTTTTAAAAAAGCTCTCAAAGATAGTCCTTTTTCCTATACTGTATAAATATATCCTTCCCCAATTAATAATCTTGAATAACAATTCTTTCCAGTACTTATGTTGAAACCCCAGTGGTTCTGGAATATTAGAAGTATTGTTTCCACAGGCAATGAATCATAGAATCAAGAACTGGAAGAGGCTTCATGGCCCATCAAGCTGATCCCCTGCTTAATGTAGGATCTCCAGCAAAAGCTGGAGGAGACCACAAAAAAGGGATTCAGAACTACTCCAACTAATCAATTACTTTCTGCATGTTTCTGAAGATAATAGTGGTGTATATGCCTAATCAGGAGACCAGCAACAAGAGAAACTGGAAGCCAAGGAAGGAGTCAATAACTAACTATAGCAAGAAAGGTGCTGGTGGTAAGGGACTCACTCAGGGGTATAGAGGCACCTATGTGCCAGTCTAACAAGACGAATGTCACTGGCAACTTGCTGGATCATAGTAAGAACACAAATCACTACCCCTTACTCCTTATTCATGTGGACCCCAATGTCATAGCACAGACCGCCTTTGACTAAATCACATCGGACTATGAAATCCCATTAACTCATTTCCTATAAAGTCATATCTATCTTCCTGCAGAAGGACTTCAAGCTCATCTTGTTTATTTCCCAAACTATTTTCACTGATGTATAAGTATCTAAAACCCCATTTCTACCATCTTTTATTTTAGTGTCTGATTTACTATGGCTTCCACCCCTTCTCTCAGCCACTCCTTTAGAAAACACATCATTGTGTTTAGAGCTTGCTTTTGGAAAATCAAAGACTTAGTTGAAATCCCTCTTGAACAGATTCATCGTGCTTTTATAAAAGACACTTTTCATGAGATCCAGCCCATATGTTGCCAGTAGTACAGTGGTTTTCAACCTGTGGGTCCCCAGGTGTTTTGGCCTACAACTCCCAGAAATCCCAGCCAGTTTACCAGCTGTTAGGATTTCTGGGAGTTGAAGGCCAAAACATCTGGGGACCCACAGGTTGAGAACCACTTCAGTAGTACTTCATCTAAAAAGTAAACACCATGGTCACCGGAGCCAAACTTCTGCTGTGGTAGAACTGGTGACAATAACCTTTACCTATAGCCATTTTTGCAATATAAAATAGATATAAGAAATTTATGCAAATGTTTGTTGTCATTTGTAAAGATGGACAGTAGTAATAGTATTCTACTACATAGCCAAACCTCCATAAAATCTTGGTGTCTTGGTGTTTAGGCCTTCTTCCTGGAGATATTTGGGATGCTGATTCAGAAAACTGCATTGGATAGACATCACCTCTAGTTTCTTAATTATGGTTATCATGATTTCTTATGGGTTAGCAGATGAAGAGTGGTAAATGGTATATGTTCTGTATCTCAAAAACTAGAGCTGATAGTGGAAAACCCAGGCAACTTTTGGATTCAGCAGATCATTTGATGCATCAATATGTGTGTTGGCCAGTGTTGTTAATAGTATGCTGGGATGTGTTTTTACCTATTAAATTAATTAGATTTCCCTCTAAAATTAAATTGATGCAAATATTGATAAGATTCATCAAGTCATTTGTTGATTCTCATGTGAGCAGTACCAAATTGGCAAAGGTTTACAACTCTACTAAGAACATCATACTTGTTTTGCAAAGTCCCCAAGCCGAAATCACTAATATACGTATTAGGTTGGTAAGTCATAGAATACAGTAATCATGGCAAATACTCAGAGATGCCATACATTTTTAGGGAGTAAGTGCCTAACTAAATATTGTGCTTAAATAGTACTTATTTCCTAGTAAGTGTCTTTGAGGCTGCAGATCAAGGCTTTAATACTTCCTGAAGTGTGTACATTATGGAAATCAATGGCTAGGATCCAGTGGGATACTTCCACTCTTGGAAGTGTTTCCATCCATGGATCTGGGAGGAAGCAATTTTTCTGGCCCTGACATAAAGGTGACAGGAGAGGAAGAAAGTCCTATCCCAAGCACTAGTGTCACACGGTAGTCCCTTCTGTGCAGGCACACATAAGATTGTCCTTCAAATCCAAATGAAACCAAGGGCACAACTTTATTGCTGTCAACCTGAAAAAAACAGGACATCATCATAGCAAGTGTTAGCAGAATTGGGGAAGATCTGCTTTTGCCAAAGGGAAATTTGCTAGAGGGAGGGGAAAAAAACTATTTCTCCAATCATAGCTAAATATAGTGTATGTATTCAAAAGTTACAATGTTATTCCTGGTGTTTTTCTGTCCCATCTACTGCCCTTCTCTTGGCCTTTAAGCAACGTAGTGTTAGCATGCAAGTATTCACTGTTCCAAATTAATTATTGATTCTCTCTGAAAATGCTTTTGCCTGATAGAGAGACAAATAAGTTATCACTCACCTCAGTGCACATCTTATCTACTGGCTTGGTTGCTTCACAGCAAACACCTAAAAGCCCTATCAGAACCCACCAAGACGTGCAGAAGGCCATTAAGGAGCTTTATTAGATTCTCCACGCAGACGAGCTTCAGTAATGGAAGTAAGATGAAAAACAATTTTCTAGAACAGGTTTCAGAAAGCTTTGTCAAACTGGAGAACTGACTAAGGCAAAGAGCAGCGACAGATAAAGAGTCATTTCCCCTTGCAGCCAAGTGACTTATGTGTGTTGAAGTTTTTCAGTTCCTCTTCTGTGCTCCTCTCACCAGTCCTCACACACACACACCTTTGCTGCATTCTGTGTTGGAAGGAAAATATGGGAGTCTAAGAAAAGGTCTTCTCTTTGTGTTTCCTTTGTGGCTTTCACAGACTGATGAGCACTCTGTGGCACATGCTTCTAAATTAGAGGAAGAATCCAAGTGAAGTATATGTGATACTGAGATAGTAGACTTCTGAGGGTGTACCTGTGTTTGGATCATCATTCCAAACGAACTTTGAAATGTATATTGTGCACCACCCATGTATATGAAAAAAGAGGGAGAATATCAGCAATCTCAGAGGTAACTTAAGATATAGCTGTTGGAGTTCATCCTGTGATTGTGTCTAATGATCAGGGGACTCTGGATGTTGGGAATGGCAATGCTGTTTCTAATGATGAGGGTGCTTTAGATACAGAGAATGACAATGGGATTCCTGTTCAAAATGTCTTTGCTGATCAGAATGTTCCTGAAGAGTTTGGGGGTGATGGGATGGTCTCTGGAAGAGGACCTGAATTGTTACCAGAGAACTCCCAGGTCTCTGAGCCTGAGAAAAGCTTGGCACCTGGCCCAGCTGCAGAAATTAATAGCCAGGAGATACAAGGCTTGTTTTCAGACAGAACAGAATAGCACAACAATCTCTTAGGTGTTCTGCCAGGTTGAGAGAGAAATTAATAACAGATTCAAGGCTGAAAAGGAACCCATTTCTGGTGGGGATATAGAATAGATTAGGGGATATAAGTGCCAAGTACAGAATCTGTGGTCAGACGAAGCAAAGTTGGAACTGAATCAAGACCTTGCGGTGAACCTTGCAGTCTTGTCTTGGATATATTCATGTTATACCTTGTTTGATTCCATGATTCATGTTTGGAGTTTTACCTTGGAAGTTTTTGTGTTGGTTTTTCATATACTCTGATGGATTTATTTCCTGGATTACTTGTTCCTCCTTATCTTTCTACCTACTTGGAGTGCTAATTTACCTACTTCTTTGGAGTGCTAATGCTTTTTTAATTATCTTCAACAAACTGTTTGCATTTTTACTCATCTGTGTGGTGTTGTTAAATCAGAGGGCTTCTTCCTGGCTTGGAGTGCAACAGTAGGATCTCACCATACAGGGTCCCAACTGCAGGAGACAGTGAGTGCATATAGCTCATAAAATGTTATCTGCAATAAATTACTCATAAAATGATTGTTTGATTCAAGTGTCATTGCTTGCCAGTGAAAGGAGACCAGAGAGGAGGCCAGCCTATCCTTGTGTGGAAGGGACAAGCCACTGAGAAGGCTCTCTCCCATGCCTCTCCTATCTCACTGTGGACTCCCATGACATAACTATCAAAGCACATGGAAAGCTAGCAGGTCAGTTAAAACACTGATTTACTTATAGTAACTTTCTTAGTTGGAATAAGGGATTTGTACCCTCACCCACATTGTCCATTTTGAGGTAATATATTTCCAGATCTCACATGCTCTTACTGAATTTTAAGTAACTCCAAACATTAATCCTATGGAAGGTTCACCGTATTAATGTCAAATAGCTACTGTTGGGACCAAACCCTGCACCAGCAGTTGTTAACTAGAGATCTTTCTCTTTTGTTGTAATGGTGGTAAGATGCAGAGATGTATCCAATGAATATAATTTAAGGCACAGATAGGCAACTTTGGTGAGATTGGGTGTCTAGTCCAATGCAGCACCCACTACAGCTCATATTAGGTTCAGGAATGGCTGGAAACACAGGAAACAAAAGAACAAGAAAATGAATACAAACACAGGAAAAAAAAACAAAAATTAAAACAGGTAGATGTCCACTTCAGTTTTGTGAATATATAAGTGGGTTCTTGTCTACCTCAGGACTTTATTACACAGTGCTGCTAAAACACCTATAGTTATGTCGTGGGAGTCCACAGTGAGATACAGCATGACATGATGGCTGTCCTGTAGTTACATTGCACATGATTCATGATTGGATTACTTCTTTTCATTAACAGGGAAACCCCATCCATGAATCCATTACTGCTGTTGCTTGTTTGCTCTTTGCTATGTGATAATTTCCCTGTTGCGATCTTACCTTCACACAACCTTTTGCCCCTTACCACTCTGGGGCTCCTCTTCGGTCACAGATCTGGACATATCCAGGCCTATCAGTGCATGAAGCGGTGAGAAAGTGTTGCAAGAAGCTTTCTTGCCACCATGATGAGTCTTTTGTCTTTTGGGTAGCTACAGAGCTATGCAAGGTTTTTACACTGTCTAGTGGTGGAAGTGCCAACACACCTTGCCCCAATTCTACCAGGCTTTCATCTGCTTGAAGAAGAAGTGACAGGATAYGAACTTGCCTTGTCTTTATTCTGCTAYGCTTCCCCTATGTGATAGGGGAAGGAGGGAGGGCGTGCAGCTCACCGCAAGTCACCACATGCACCTTCTGTTTCACCTGTGATTGCCAGCAAAATGGGACAGGAGGTGCGGGGGGGGGGGAGGCTTATCAATGTGATGAGCTCCTTAGTATTATGAAATGGAGGAATGTCTTGCGAAAACACTGAAACTGCAAGACTGTGCCAAAATAGACAGAGCAAACACTATTAGGAGACAAATATGTGCAGGAGATTGCAGGAATTCACATCAACAAAGTCCCAACATTATATAATTGTGCTGAGGTGGGAAAGAGACAATCCAACAATTCTATGTTTACATTAGCTTAAATAATGTGATTGTGATGAAACAACAGCTTGGTGTGAGAAACTCCTCAGTTTAATAAGACTGTCAATTTTTCAAAGATTGCTTGCCTAGAGGTTGGTCATGTCTCTTCACCTTATATCTCCCTTTTCAAACCTGCGCACCCGCAAAGGAAAGGCCAGCCTTGCATGCTCATGCTGCCCTCCTCACCTCAGGCAACATTTCAGCCTTCTATGGGACACCTAATTTCTTTTTTAACTGCATTAAACCTTAACTCAAGGTTTGTTGCTTCCTGCCCTCTCCTTGTAGCAAGGACATCTTCTCATTTCATTTCATCCCATGATAAAATAAAGTGATTTTTATCAGCAAGGTTTCCATTATCCTATTTTATGCCTGTCCTGGTGTTTTCTGTTGCTTACTTCATAGCCCATTTAATTACTAAAAGGAATGAGATCACCAAACCTTGCCTTTCTTCAATCCCTGAATCTGACCATTTGCCTGAGCTCTTATCTAATCCTGCTGGGCATATTCTTGGATCATAAAAAAATCTTATTGCATAGATTAGTGTGTCTGCTTCATCCAATGCATCACTAGTTTTCTCTAGGACTGCTTTCAAATGGTTTTGTTAGAAATCGATATGCTTTATTAAGATAGGATTTGGTCAAGTAATACTGTTTTCTCTGTCTCGCTCTCCTGTCTCATTCTCTCTCATAGTATGATCCAGCCAGGTGCAAATTCTAGCTGCTCTTCAATAATAGTCAGTCTTTCCATTCCTTCCATTCAGATGATGATGATTAATGATTTACCATTATTTGTAGCACTAGCTTGCAAGTGGTGGAGATGGGTGTCCAGGCATTAAAGCTACTTCTTGCACAATAAAACCAGAATGGCTGGTGTATTGTTTTTAGCATTGGACTACAACCCTGGAGACCAAGGTTTGGATTTCCTTTCATCCATTGAAAACCACTGGGTCACCATGGGCAAATCAGACTCTCAACCTCAGAGAAAGGCAAAGGCAACCCCTCTGAAAAGATCTTGCACAGAAACACCTGTGATAGGTTTGTCTTAGGATCACCATAAGTCAGAAAATATTTGAAGCCAATAACAGTAACAACATGAAAAAAAACCTCAACTTTTCACTCCAACACCACTTGCTCTGATCGTTTTTGTCCTGCCTCAGAGCATCAGGGAGGTATTCACTGAAGGGCCTGTCCAGACAGGACCTTTATTGTGGTGTCTACCACAATAAAGGAGAGGCTATGCAGACAACATTCTGGACAGTCCTGAATTAATTTGCTACAAACCAGGAAGACCCTGGTTTGTAGTTAATTAATTAGATAGTGGGTTTATTCCACGCCTTTTTGGAAGGCGTGGGATCAACCCATTATTTCTGGTTCTGGACTGCAGAATACTGCAGTCCAGACAGTATTCCCAAGTCTACCTGACTAAATAAGCCTGGTAAACTGTGGGAATACCCCCTCCCCCCCAAACCCCCAGACTCCTTAGGAAATTAATAAAAACTTAACTGGCCTCCATTACAAGCCTCAGCCGGCTTTCCCAGCAGGGAGATAAATCCCCCCCCCCCCGCTCTCCTGGTGCATTATTTCTACGCACCAGGAGACCCGGCTGAGGGAAATGGAGGCTGGGTAAGTTTTTATTACTTTTCTAATGGGTCTGGGGTTTGGGGGTAGGAGGGTACGGTCTCCAGACATTCTCTTGGGCTAGTCCCAAGAGAACATCTGGACACCCACACTTTTTTGGGATGGGTGTGGACAGGCCCCCAGGAAAATCTGTGTTTTTAAAATGCAGATTCCCCTGGGATAAAGGCCTGTCTGGATCTGGCCTAAGAAAGGTCTCACTGAGTCTTCAGTCAGTGCCCTGAGACTCTACATCTAATTGTGAGATAAGATTTAAAAAACAAAACAAAAACGAAATTATTGTCACCTATTTCAGTAAAAGGAAGATCAAGCATTTTCTGATTTTGTGCAGTCTTTCACTATTTCTCCTCTGACAAGCAATGTAGTCTAGCTGGGATATTTGAAGCCCACCTGCTTAGAGGCTGTTGTGATACTCAACAACTGACACAAGGCCAAGAATCAGTTTCTAGTTTGTGATCATTACAGCCTCTTTTTAAATAGGTTATAGTTGGGAGGTTTGATCCCCATTGTGATGGTCTGATGGCAGGTGTTACCAAGAAACCTTATCATT